CCAGCTCATCGCGATCTCAAAGAGATCCTCCCTCGATGCCAGCTGGGACGCTGACAGGGCTTGGTCCGGAGGGGGTTGGGGTCTGCGGTTCTGTCGGCGTCTAGAACCTCTCTCCTGCTGCTGCGCCTGGTCCTCCCCCGCTTCCGCGAGAGGTGAGTCGGGGTTGTCGGGTTGCCTCAGATCTGACGGTACATATTCGTCGCCGCTCCCTTCTGCGTTTGTATCACCGATTCTCACTGCTTGCGCTGTCGTTCCCCCTCTCCCCCCGCGTCTAGCAAACGACTGGCGCGTGACTCGTTCCGCCGGCTCCCCCAACCAGATTGGGCTCGGTAGTTGGCGCGGATTCCCCCTCGCCGCTTGGCCTGCACTCCGCTGTCCTCCGCGCGCTCCTCGACCCCCGCCTCTCCCCCGCATGCTTCCCCGTCCGCTCCTCGGAGTGGCTGCCACAGGTGTCGCCTGTTGCGCCTGGGAGATCGGCGTCGTCGGCTCCTCTTGTGGCAGTGGAGCGCCCTGAGCGCTCGCCGATGGATTTCCTCGGCGCTCTGGGCCGCGACTGCACCGCGGAGAGCGATCCCGCTCCCCGTCCGCTTCCTCCTGCACGCCCTGCCGCGAGCGTACCTGTTGCTCCACCGGCGTCCGCTGATCAGATCCGCCGCCGCTTCGAGGACCAGCAGCGCGAGCTGGCTCGGCGCGCGGGCAGGTCCTTGTCACCGCCGGAGCCCCTGCGAGCGGGGTCCGTCTTGCGCTCCGGCGCAGAGGCTGTGGCGCACCAGGAGCGTTCGCCTCGCCGTCGCTCATCGGCAGCTCGCGACGATAAGCGGGAGAGCCGCCGCGATGATCGTCACGGTGCGGCCCGTTCGCCGCTGTCTCCTCGTTCGCCTCGTCGCGTGGCGTCGCGAAGTTGATCCCGTGACCGCCGTTCGCATCGTCATCGTTCGCCCCCTCATCGTTCATCTCGCCAGCGGTTGCCTGCTCGCCAGACGTCTGGGCGTCGGCCCCCAGCTCCGCGTTCGCCCCCTCCTGCAAAGCGCCAACGGCTCTACACCCCTCGACGCGGGGACCGTTTTCCTGGCTGCCAGCGTCAGCAGGGCCCATCTCGCCCGCAGTCGCCTGTGCGCTCGAGCGCAAGTGGGCGTGCGCGTCGTGGGCGATGGGGAGGTGACAGTCGCGGCGGAAAAGCGGGTCCAGCGCCGTCCGCAATGGAGCGCCGTCTTCTGGATAGGCTTGATGACGTGGAGAAGCAGCTTCGTCGCTCGCGTGCGGGGTCGGCGTCACCATCAGCTCCTCGCGCTGCTCCCGTCGTCCCTCTCTCCGCGCTCCTGCCCCACAATCCCTTTGGATCCCCGGCGTGTTCAGAGCGGCCGCTGCCTGCGGGGATGGGCTTCGTAGGTGCTGGTAGCGGGCCGCCGTGGGTTCAGTTTGCTCCGCCGCGTCCTCTTCTTGCTCCGCGTGATCTCGCCGTGTCGTCTCACCGTGCCCGCGCGTCTGCGTTACTTCCGCCGATGAAGGAAGTTCCCACGGCGACCCTGGCCCGCCTATGGTCGCTGGCGGCGTCCCTGCAGAGCCTTGAGCGGATTCTCCAGGAGTCATTTGACTCCATGCCGGTGAGCCCTCCGAGCAGGTTTGAAATCGCGAGCAGATTGTCATGAGGCGGCGTCAGCGCTATTCGCGCTCGTAACGCCACTGCAGGTAGCGCCCTCGCCGGGAGCAACCTCGGCCAGCCAGCTGGCTGACTCGGCCCTGGCTCTGAGGACGCTTGTAGCAGGCCCTGGTACTCCTGTTTACGTTGTAGGCGCCACCGTGTCTGTGGTCCGCCAGTTGTGGTTGAACACGAGCGGAATGCTCGCTGCGGTAGAGGCGGACCGCATGTAGGCGCTCCCCCCTTGCGCGTGTAGACCCGTTCCATCCTCTACTTGCAAAGTGTCTATGCTTGCTTTGTTTGTGTCGGTTGCCTAAGCTACTACTGCTTGTTGTTTCCCCTTGCCATCCCTAACGCGCGGCCGAAGGCCGCCGGCGCGAAGCGCCAAAATTTTCAGCACTAACTGAAAGAATGAGAGATGGAGAGGCCGCCGTGGCCTTAAGTAGTCATGGCAGAGGGCAGAAAGCAGAGGGCAGAGGGTAGAAGGGGAGAGGCTAATCCTCTCTCTCTCTCTCGCTCTCTCGAACGAACAAAATTTTCAGCACTAACTGAAAGAATGAGAGATGGAGAGGCCGCCGTGGCCTGAAGTAGTCATGGCAGAGGGCAGAAAGCAGAGGGCAGAGGGTAGAAGGGGAGAGGCTAATCCTCTCTCTCTCTCGCTCTCTCGAACGAACAAAATTTTCAGCACTAACTGAAAGAATGAGAGATGGAGAGGCCTCCGTGGCCTTAAGTAGTCATGGCAGAGGGCAGAAAGCAGAGGGCAGAGGGTAGAAGGGGAGAGGCTAATCCTCTCTCTCTCTCTCTCTCTCTCTCTCTCTCTCTCTCTCTCTCTCTCTCTCTCTCTCTCTCTCTCTCTCTCTCTCTCTCTCTCTCCCCCTCTCATAAACCTCGTTCGCAGCACTCGCCATAATCAATATCACCATACCATCTCCCCACTCCCCTGCTGGTCCATTTCCCCCCTCAACGCATCCTCCTTGCCCGCCTCCCCACCGCCTCCCACCACCTCCCACCGCATCCCACCGCCCCTCTCAGACCCAGCTTTTAACGACACGTTCCATCGGGCCATCAATGCAGCGTCCTCCGCCATATCTCCTCCCTTTGTCCGCGACAACTACCCCTACCATTTCATCGGCCAGGCCTTCCCAGTCTACTTCAACCTCACCACTTTCGCCCTGCCCCCCTCGCCCTTCCCTTCCCCCGTCGCCATCCCTCCACCCGCCACACCTGAGGACCTCCCACGGGGGTTTGTCATTGCGGGTTATAACTTTGCAAACCTCCAGTCCCTTGTGGGGTTTCAACAGCTGGTGGAGCTAAACGCAAGGGTTTATCTCGTGGATGGGACGAGGGGCAGGGCATGGGATGGTACGAGGAGTGGGGATGGGAAGATTGTCAAGTGGTTGCCGGCGCTTCTGTTTGATCATGAGGGGGTGGTGGGTGAGGAGGAGATTGGAGCGTGGATGATGGATGAGAATGGGCAAGATGATGGGGGGAGAGTGCGGCGAGCGGTGCACCTGGGTGATCCCACAAGAAGCTTCTATCTTTTCTGCGAGTGAGTTGATGTGTGCCTGCGGACATGCCTGAACGCGCGTATGAACATGATTCGTTCATTATACAGCCATTCATCATGCATGCATCCATGTGTCCACACACGAGACATGTACGCTCACGTACATGCATACATGCATCGATGTAAATAGTGGTGGCGGTGCTATTTCTAGCTATCTCCACCATCCTCTTTTTCAAATCCACCTCATGCACAGTGTTGACTTCGACTGCCATCACCTCGCCATGTCAAAGCATTACCTCCCCTACCCCCACTTACCTCGCCCCCCATCCCATCAACCTCCGTCTCACCACACGCATGTGTCCCCTCTTCCGCTCCCCCCGCCACCCTCCCTCTCCCCCTCCCATCCCTCAACCTCCATTCCACCGCAGGCACATTTCATACGCCAAGCCATTTGGCCCGTTCACTTGGATAGTGGTGGCGGTGCTCTTTTTGACTGTCTCCACCATCCTTCTCTGGACGAGCATCCAGCTCATGCACGCCTTTGAGTGCGACTGCCAGCACCTAGCTGCCGCCCAACATGAGCTGCGTGCCGCCCGCTTGGAGGCCGAGGCAGCGAGTCGAGCCAAGGGGGATTTTCTCACGACGATGTCGCATGAGATCCGCACACCCATGAACGGCGTCATAGGTATGTTTATTTGTTCTCTCCAAACCTTGTGTGTTTGAGGTGCTTTGGAAGCAGCGAGCCGAGCCAATGGTTACTCATGACGATGTCGAATGAGATTCGCACACCCATGAACGGCGTCATAGGTAATGTGATATAACAAGATAACATGATGATGTTGTATATGATTATGCGATAGCATGGTAAGGCGATAACAAGGTAACCTCACGCAATGGATTGTGTGAATGTTGTCGATCGGATTTTTATGTAGAATCGAGTATATAAAAGCTCAAGTCGATAGTCTTTGCTGCTTTGCAATATATTACTGCAATCAACGTTTCCATAGCGTTGTGTTGCTAGCATACGCCTTCATAGCATTTTGTTGCCGAGTCGTGTAAATACAATAATATACCAAGAAGAAACGAAGGAGATGCATGCCGCAAGTATTAACACAGTCCCTACGAGTAAATTTATAACAATATGTGATGATCTTCAGCTATCCGAAGCAACATAATCCCCATGGCGGGATATAACAGCAACTGTGAAGTTGGTGAACATGTTGGGTGTGAATATAATTACTTCACGTCAAGCAGCCGCCTTCATATCGTCTTCTGTTTCGTGCGTGTTTTGTGCACATTTGTTTTTGCATCTCATTTCAGTCCTTTTCGTTGCGAGCTCATGACCAGTCATGAAATCTCATGAACACTGTCGAGCCTCATAAAGGCTCATGAGAATTCATGAGTTTTCAAGACGAGTGACTAGTGCTCACGAGGGCCAGTGTTTTTGCCCCTCGAATATCTCGCGCTTAGTCAAGGTAAAAGCACGCGAAAATCAGGACCCGCACGTGGGGTCCCGATCTCGCGTATGACCTCTTAGGGCTCACGCGTGGGGCCCGCCACTGTGCGCAGGTCCCACGATTGCATCAGTACAGGGCGATCAAGATCGCTCTGCCTGTGCAGGATAGCGCACGATCATGTCAACCCACATTGATGCAAAATACATGTGCGTCAAGTCAAAGTAGCCAAAGAAAACAAACATGCGACCACGACTGATCTACACTTGGCAGGATGTTGTGCAAAGTGATTTGACACTAAATAAGCGGGTTTTGAAAACCCCTTTGGATGAGCTGATTGCTATCTTTCTTCCTCCTTTCACTCCGTTCTCTCTTTCCCTCCCCCCTTCCCCACCACCAGGCATGCTGAACTTGCTACTGGAAACCCCTCTGGACGGGTCGCAGAAGGACTACGCACAGACGGCGCAAAGTAGCGGGCGGGCTTTGTGTGCGCTGATCAACGACATTCTCGACCTCTCCAAGATCGAGGCCGAAAAGCTGCACCTTGAGCGCATACCGTTGGACCTGCGCGCCGAGCTCGACGACGTGCTCGCGCTCTTCGTTGAGAGCGCCCAGGAGAAGCGCTCCGTTGAGCTTGCAGCGTTTGTCGCCGACGACGTGCCCGAGATGCTCCTTGGGGATCCTCTCCGAGTGAAGCAGGTGCATATAGTGTTCGAAGTAGGCATGATGAGCAAGTATCGAACCCGAACCGGCATGATGAGCAAGTATCGAACTCTAACCGGCATGATGAGCAAGTACTGAATTCGAACTGGCATTATGAGCAAGAACCGAACTCGAACCAGCATGATCCTCCCTCTCTCCCTCGGCATCCCACCCGCCCTCCTCTTGATCCCCACCAGATCCTCATCAACCTCGTGAGCAACGCATTCAAGTTCACCACCAAGGGTCATGTTTTTATTGCCGTCCGCGTCGCAACCACCACAGACAACACCAGCGACACCCACCCCCCGCCGCCACTCTCCCCTTCTTCCTCCACATCCACACAGTCACCCTCACACTCTCCCTCACCATCAGCTACACCCTCAGGTTCACCAGCAGCATCACCATCAGCAGCACCGTCATGTTTATCATTCCTCTCCAAAGCACCAGCCAGCAGTCGCCAGTCTCTTGACAAAGGCTGCACCAGTGCAAGCGGACGGAGAGAGGGGGAGGGTCCAGCTGGGGCCGTTGGGGCTGCTGCTGATGCAGATGTGAGGAGTGGTGGTACTAATGTCGTTGCAGACGCATTTACTGAACGTCCGGAGGCATGTTCTGAACATGCGTGTGTGACGCTGAGTGGCCTTCCAGCCATGAAGTCGTGGTGTTCGTGGGAGGGCATGCGGGAGCACATGGACCTAGAAGCTGTGGGCATGGGCAAGGGCATGGGCATGGGCATGGGCATGGGCATGGGCATGGGCATGGGCATGGGCATGGGCATGGGCATGGGCAAGGGCAAGGGCAAGGGCAAGGGCAAGGGCATGGGCAAGGGCAAGGGCAAGGGCATGGGCAACGGCATGGCGAACCATTCCGGGCTTGGCCATGGGTGTGGACCATATGGTGATGGGCATGGTGAGGGATGCGGCAATGGCTGTGGCAGTGGTGCTAGACTGGGGTCCGATCAGCCTGTGCGCCTGATGGTGGCTGTGGAAGACACTGGTACGCTTTCATTGCATGTGCGTGTGCGCCCACGCGCACACGCATACAAGCACACGCAAACGCGCATGTGCGTGCGTGTGCCTAGATGTGCATGATGCGCGTTTCCGTGTGCTTGTATGCGAGTGTGTGTTTGTTTGTTTGTTTTTTTGCTGTTTCATATCGTGCTCCCATACGCTCTCACATGAAACGAGTGGACCTGGTACAGCCAGCCATTGCCACACTACCTCCCAGCATGCCACACTACCTCCCAGCATGCCACACTAGATGTGGTGAAAACCTCTCCTAGGACATCTGCTCGGTGCTTTTTCTTGTCTTCTGCACTGCATCTCTTCCTCCTTCAGTGCTCGGCCTTGTTCGTAGCGGCATCGGTTTCTGAGCCGCTTGAAAACTGCAGCAACTCTTTTCTCCTCCCCTGCTCTTTTTTTTTTTTTTTTTTTTTGTGATGTGTCCTCTGCCTTTGCTGCCCGGCCCTGCCAATCGCTGCCAGGTACCGGCATCCCCCGCCATGCTCGGAAGCACCTCTTCAGGCCGTACGCACAGGCGGACCGCAGCATGGCACGGCTGCATGGAGGGACGGGCATCGGCCTCTCCATCTGCAAGGTGTGTTGCATCAGGACAGCTGTGTTTCAAAGTACTTCGCATTGGGACACCTGCCTTGAAAGGTGCATTGCATCCAGACAGCTGATGTGTGAGGTACGCTGCATCAGGACATCAGCGTTGCAACGCACCTTGCACTGAGACTCTTACATTGCCACTCCCTCCCGCCACCCCCTTCCCTTGTCCCTCCCGCTATCCATTTCCCTCCCCTCTCCCGCTCCCCCATCCGTGCAGCACCTGGTGTAACTGACGGGGGTACCCATCTTCACCTGGTGTAAGTGACGGGGGTACCCATCTTCACCTGGTGTAACTGACGGGGGTACCCATCTTTACCTGCGCATATATTTTTCCTAATCCCGCTTTGCCCCTCCCCACTCCTCCCCCCCTCTCCCACTCCCCAACCCATGCAGCGCCTGGTGTCAATGATGGGCGGATCTATCTCCTTTGTCTCAAAGCCAGGCGTCGGCACCACCTTCCTCTTCGATATCCTCCTCCACACACCCCCTCTCCCTCACCCCCCTTCCTCCCCTCCTCATTTTCCCCAATCCCACACTCCTCTTACTCCTGTCCGACCTCCTTCCTCTCTCTCCCTCCCTTCTCCCCTGCCTGCTGCATCCCCAGCCTCCCTCCCCACTTCCATACTATGCATCCCCTCTCTTCCTCCTCCTCCTCCTCCTCCTCCTCCTCCTCCTCCTCCTCCTCCTCCTCCTCCTCCTCCTCCTCCTCCTCCTCCTCCTCCTCCTCCTCCTCCAAGGCCCATCCGCTTGCCCCACCAAACTGCAAGCCACCTGCAGCTTCAGCAGCAGCAAGGGCAGCACCAGGGAAGAAGTAGGCTTGAGTGTGGGAGTGGTGAGAGTGAGGGGAGGACAGCAAGGGCATGGGAGGGCGTGTGTGTGGTGAGTGTGGACGACCGGCCGGTGCGGCATGCCATCACTCTCTCTCTGCTGCGCCGCCTTGGCATCTGCACCCTCCCCTGCCCCTCCTTCCACCTCCTCCCCCGCCTCCTCGCCCAACACCGTGCCTTGCACCATGGGTCATCAAGTCATGCCGTTCACGTTCCCACGGAGCAGCAGGAGGAGCAGCAGAAGGAGCAGCAGAAGGAGCAGCAGGAGGAGCAGCAGGCGGAGCAGCAGGAGGAGCAGCAGGAGGAGAAGGAGCAACACAAGGCTGAGCTTACTTCTGAACCGTCTCTGTCTGCCAGATACCTCTCTCACCTTCTCTCACCCACAGCCATCCACCCCCCTCGTGCTCCTCGCACTGTCTCTCTCACTGCCTCAACAGCAGCACCCTATGCTCCAGCCTCTCATACTCATCCCCCTCCTCCTTGTCGCGTTAAGTCACACACTGCCCTGTCAAACCTCCCACTACCCACCTCTCGGCACTCCATTGCACCGCAGAAACCCCACCCGCCATCTTCGCTCGACCCTCCCCCTCCTCCTCGCCGCGTTAAGTCACACACTGCCCTGTCAAGCCTCCCACTACCCACCTCTCGACACTCCATTGAATACCTTCTTAACGCTTCCTCCACAGCTTATGAAGCGCATGAAAACGCCCAGCAAGCGTCTTCTCTCAACCCTCCTCCTCCTCGCCTCGTCAAGTCACACACTGCTCTGTCACGCCGCACACTACCCACCATTCAGAGGTCCATCGGAGCCCGTGTAACCGCGCCTGCTTTTGAGTCGACTAAAAAACGCACACTACCCACCATTCAACGATCCATCGGCGCCCTTGTAACCGCTTCCCCCACAACACGCCCCACACCTCGTGATCTGTCGCTGGTCCCGCTGCTTCCAGCCGACTCGTGTGCACAAGCCCACTCAGAACCATCCAGTGACCACTCATGTCATCCTCATGAGGAGCTATTTCCTCCTCTCGACCCTTCTGCTCCTCCTCTTGATCCGTTTGCCCCTATTTTCGACCTGTCTGGTACTCCTCTTGAGCCGTTTGGCTCCCCGGCTGTGCTTGTGGCTGCTCCACCTGTCGCCCCCCTTTCCCGCCAGTACTCCCGCCCTCCTCTCTCCATTGCTCCTCCGCGCTGCCCTCCTCTTTCCATCGATGTTCACTCCTCTAGTGAGAGAAGTGCAAGTGGAAGAGGGGAGGAGCAGCAGGGGCACCAGGTGCAGCAGCGGCAGTGGCAACACCAGCAGGGGCAAGCGAAAGAGATGGAGGAGAGGGAAGAGGAAGAAGAGGGGGAAGATGGGGAAGAAGAAGGAGAGGAGATTGAGGAAGGGGAGGCAGAAGGGGAGGAGGATGGAGTGAGGCAGGTGCATCAACACGCTTCAAAGGATTCTCGAAACTCACAGCACCGGGTGCACTACAGCAGTTTGCGAGGAACACAAAGGCGGGGATGGGTGGGGGCGGTGGTGGTGGAGGGGGAGATGATGCAGCGGCTGGGCGTCACAGCAGATCAAATCTACGCTCTCGTCTCTGGCCTGGCAGGGGGTGGGATGGCAGGGGAAGGCGAGCTGATGAGCGAGCGAGAGAACGTGAGTAAAGGCTGGGAGGAAATCTGGGAAAGTGGGGAGAGGAGGAAGGAGGGAGTGGGTAGGTGTGTAGGAGAGAAATGCATCGGTTGCAAGAGCAGTAAGGGCAGTGGTACTGCTCAGGGGCCTGCTACCAGCCTAGCAACCGTCAGTTCACAGCAGGAACAGCGTACCAGTTTTGCTGCTGGTGGCAACTGCAACAACTGCAGCAACTGCAACAATTGCAGCAACTGCAGCAGCTGCAGCAAGTGCAACTGGCCAGTTCCTTTCCTCGTGCTTCTTCACGGCTCTTTTCCTCTTCCCCCGCACAGTTTCAGCCCTTACAAGAGGAAGTCTTGTGACGAGGAGAGGGAGGGCAGCCGCAAAAGGCAAGCAGGAAGGGTAGATGAAAGGGGAGAGGGGGGTGACTATGAGTGTAAGCTGGATGACTGTAACGATGGGGCGAGGGGCTGCAAAGGCAGCAACAGCAGCAGGAGAAGAAGGTCTCCTGTTCTGTCCCTCTCTCCTTCTCCGACCATCCCTGCCACTGCAGCCCACCTCTCGCCCCCACCTGCACTCTCTCTCGCACCGTCCCCGTCCATCCCCTCGCTATTGTCTCTTGGCTTCGATGCTGTTATACGGAAGCCCCTGCGTAAGCCAGCGCTGCTGGCGGCGCTTCTGCCTCTGTTTAGTGCAGAGTCGGAGCAAGGTCAGTGTGAGCAGGCAGGAGGGGGAGCAGGAAGAGAAGGAGGAGCAGGAGGAGGAGGAGGCAGAAATGAGGGTGTGGCACATGAAGGGCTCAGGGGGAGAGAGACGAAGGGGCAGCGGGGGAGTGGTGTGGTGCTGAGCCCGTCGGCCCTCCATAAGGCAGGCAGCAGCGCTGCAGTGGCTCTCTGGCGAGCTGTGAAGTCCCCCCGGGAACTCATGTCCCGACGATCACTCAAGTTTCCTCAGTCACTCGAATCCCCTCTGTCAATCAAAACCCTTTCCTTGTGTCCCTCCCACTCACCCACCACTCCCACCGCTCCCAACATTCCCACCACTCCCACCACTCCCAACATTCACACCACTCCCGCCGTTCCCATCACTCCCGCCGTTCCCACCACTCCCACCATTCCCACCACTCCCACCACTCCCACCACTCCCACCACTCCCATCACTCCCACCACTCCCATCACTCCCACCACTCCCACCACTCCCACCACTCCCACCACCCCCAATGCTCCCACCATTTTCAGCACTCTCAACACAGGGAGCACTGTCACTGGTAACTCTGCCCAATCCAAACATGCAAGCCCCATTGCAGCACCAAGTACGTCACTGTCCTCACCCAATGCAAGCAGTGGTCACTCTACCTCTCTATCCATGCATCTTGCCCCCAACCTCCGTGCGCCTGCTGCTGCCACTACTGCTGCTGGTCGAGGCAGTGGAGTGGCAGTGAGGGAGGAGGAGGAGGTGGAGGAGGGGGTGTTGGATGAAATGAGTGGTGTGGATGAAATGAGTGGTGTGGATGAAATGAGTGGTGTGGATGGTATGGGTGGTGTGAATGGTATGGGTGGCATTGAGGGTATGCGTGGTATGGATAGTAGCAGAGCCTCAGTGGATTTGATATCCGCTGGCAGTGCTACCGATTCTTCTTCGGTCTACTTCACATCTGTTGGTGCTGCTGCTGCTGCTTCGGTCAATCTGACACCTGCTGCGGGTGCTGCTGCTGCGGGTGGCAGTGCTGATAAACAAATTTGTGATTCGCCTCAGGGGTTGCAGCACTATGTGCCTCAGGGGTCGTTAGCCCTGGTAAGAAGCAGCAGTGCCGTCGAAAAGTATCCTGATTCTCCCCAGGGGTTGCAGCATTATGTGCCTAAGGGGTTGAGAGCTTTTGTGAGGGGCGGAAGTGCAGTGGAAGCGGGTAGAGCAGCAGAGCGTAGGGCAGAGATGCAAGGGCCCAAGGGCGAGAGGAGGGCAGCAAAGCACGGGTCTGCGGGTGAAAGGAGGGGAGCTGTGAGGCTGCATGGAAGAGAGAGCAATCAACGGAGTAGCAGCGACGGACGGTATGGTTCTTCTGGTGCTGCTGCTTCTGCTGCTGCTGCTGCTGCTGCTGCTGCTGCTGCTGCTGCTGCTGCTGCTGCTGCTGCTGCTGCTGCTGCTGCTGCTGCTGCTGCTGCTGCTGCTGCTGCTGCTGCTGCTGCTGCTGCTGCTGCTGCTGCTGCTGCTGCTGCTGCTGCTGCTGCTGCTGCTGCTGCTGGTCGAGTGAGTGGTTTTGGGAGTGTGCGCGATTTCTCAGGGATCCCTCCCCTGTATGCTCGCCCTGCTGACCTCACCCCTGCGTCATCTTCTCCCTCCGTTGCGACACTCTCTCCTGCGATCACCCGCACACCATCGCCATCCTTATCACCAACACCGGCACCTGCACCCCGACCACCAACACCACCATTCTCTGCATCATCCCCTGCAGCAACACCAGCAGCCCCAGCAGCACCAGCAGCAGCGGTAGCAGCGGCACGAGAGCAGGCAGCAGTGGGGGAGGGACTTGGGGTGCTTGAGCCGACTCAAGAGCCAGCGACTGTTGGGGAGAGGCTGAGTGTGCTGTTGGGTCGGTGGGTGATGGTGGTGGATGACAACCTCATCAACCGCAAGGTGGCCAGCAAGCTGCTGGAGAGGCACGGCGCGCGAGTCACCGCCGTGGATGGCGGCGCCAAGGCCCTTCAAGCCCTCGCCCCACCCCACCCCTACGACCTCGTCTTCATGGACCTCCAGATGCCGGGTATGGATGGGCTGGAGGCGACTCGCAGGATCCGAGCGCGGGAGAGGGCTCAGGGCGGGGGGCATGTGGCCATCATTGCGCTCACAGCGGATGTGATTGCCGGCACGCGCCACCACTGCTTTGCCGTCGGCATGGATGACTACCTCTCCAAACCCCTCGAGGAGGCACAACTCTCCCGCGCCGTCTGGCGCTGCCTCGCCAATAGATTTTAAACCCATGCGCGCGAGTAGATGCATGGCTGGGGCCCACCTCATCAAACCCTTCAAAAAGGCGCGACTCTCCAACGCCGTCTGGCACTGCCTCGCAAACACACACGTTCGTATCATCAGACACCCTAATACACACTAATCCGTGCCAATGCATGATCATGCACATTACGAATTCGGTATCCATACAGGCATTTCCATTGGTCCAACGACCATACAGTTGTTTGGATGTGCTGAAGCTTGGGCCAAGAGCTCAATGTTTATAAATTATGGATTTTTATAGTAGTCAAATACTACATCTAGTAGTAGAAAGTGTGGCTCCATACATACAGTTCATTGTGCCTTCTATTCTTCTAGAAGGCAGATGAGACAAAGCATTCTCTGATCTGATCCGAATCATCCGATTGTGCAAGGTGCGCATGCGAGGCCTGCCTGAGTTTTCGCTTGCCTGCCTGGGCTATGATGGAGCTGTACAGCTAATGCCCGTTAGAGCCCCTCCCGGTTGCCTTGTGAAGGGGGTCTGTAAGCTAAACCTGCATTTCGCGTGGGGTTCGTACGTTTCGTCAGGCTTTATGCGTGCTTCAAAACTGAACATGGTAACCACCCGATTTGTCCGATTCGCTACAGTAATGGTTGGCCCTACTTGTCCCTTGTGTGAGTTACAGGTTACTCAACGAATGCTACAAGAATGAAACAAGCAGCTTCATCAAATGTTCCTCGTAGTACAGAACAACCAAAACACAAAACACATCCAATCAGCATCTCCCACGCCCGGAAGAACGTTGTTAGGGGAAACGAGGAATCGTGACAAGGGAATGTAGCGGCGACTGTCAAAATCTCGCCATAAATTTGCACCAACACGTAGTCGGTTGGCGTCGCTGGACAGAACGGTATACGGGGAAGGAAGAGCGAGGAACTGCCGACGAATGAGACTGTTAAGTCGACTCGCGCGAAATCAGCCAAAAGTCCGACTGCTCGGATAACATGAGGACCGTTCACCCGCATTGATCGCGTCGAACGGGACGCTGGTTGAGGAGGAAGACCAATCAGTCGGACGATCACTTTGTGATTAACGCTACTAGCGCCGATGCTGCCGGGTCGAACCAAGCTGACGAGAAGAGCGAGATGACGAAAGGGTCACTGGGGGAACGGGTGCAGAGGAATTCAGGCCATGGCACAAGCATGTATCGGCACGTCGCCCGTGTCTGGGGGTAGGCTGTAGGTAACACCGAGGGAACTTGTGGGTCACCCCGTGAGGGTGACTCTGGGGTCTCCCGCATTTTCAAAGTGATTCTTGCACATGGAATTTTGGGATGAAACGAAGACTAGCTTACGCAAAGGAGCGTGAAAACGAACATAGAGCAACATGCAACGGACGGCGTCAACTAAAGCAAAAGGATTATGAAACGACGAAATAGTGTCGTACCGCTTGAATCGCAGGAGAAGCTTCGCTACCAAGATGAATTAAACGTGGCAGACAACATGTAAAAAGAATATCTTAAAAAGTACTTTGCTTACCTCGTCTTCGTGGTGTCGGTCAGATGCTGAAGCTGCTCCATTGAATGCATGGTCATCGTGACTGTTGTGCGCTGCCGGTATTTCCGTTAGCATAGAATCCAGCCATCCCTCATTAGTAGCTTCTAGCGAATGTGATGGAGCCATTTCAGGTTTCCATACTGGCAAAAAAAAATTGCGAGTTGAGCTAGAATGGGGATACGCAGGCGAGGGTTGTCTACGTGATGCGCGCATATAGCGCGCTTATTACGACGATAGTAATGGGGCATTGTGAGAGGCGGGGGTGTGTGAGAACGATGCATTTGTGACTTCGTTGGTCTGATTTTAACTTAGGATGGCGGGCGTGCTGGGGCACTGGTGGGGCCTGTTCTGTGTCGTCGTCCCATTCGTGTGGCCGTGGTTCGTTCCATGCACCTAGCTTGGACCTCCGATCGAGTGGTTTGGTAACCACACGATCGGAGGTCTGACGTGGGGTCGGCGAACAACGCCTGGCTGATAATGCGCATGTACCCCACAAGTGCAGACTACACGTGGCAGTGTGAATCTGCCCAAATGTCTGTTACACGCACGATGAACCTCGCTTAGGTGGCGGGGCAGTCGGGCGAATGCGTTCACGAAACCACACACGTTTCGTCCTTACATTTCGCCTGCCTGACTTGTGGCCTAAAAACAAGGCGAACCAGGGTCAGCCTGCCTTGTTCGGGACTGCACGTGCGTTGGTGGCCGCAGCGCGTGTACTGTAGCCAGCCATCCAGGTGCTTGTACTGTGGGAGCAGCAAGCAGGGGTTTCGACCTCGGGTGCAGCGTTTCCATCCGGTGCATGGCAAATTCGCGTGCACTGGTCGGGCATCAGCTGTACACATGATGCCTGATTGAGCCCCTCCCGGTTGCCTTGTGAAGGGGGCGTATAAGCTGTATCGCGCTTTTCACATAAGTTTTGTCAATTCGCAGCTAGCTAAAAAGGATTCGCAGGTGCTTATAAAAGGATCTGTAACCTTATCCGTTGACATTTTGACTTCAGTCTCTTCAGTTTGACTTCGATCTGTTCGTTACAATTGGTTCATAATTACGCGACGCGCTTGTACCGTGGGTGCAACAGGCTGGGGAAAAAACCTCGGGTGCAGCGTTTCCATCCGGTGCAGAGCAAATTCGCGTGCATGGGGTGGGCATCATCTGTATGTGTCTCTGTGGTGTGCTGTCACGGTAGCAGGGTGCACATCCGGAATTTCGTCGACATTCCGGATGATTTCGTCAGAGACCCGGATTTTGAGGGGGACAAACTCAATCACATCCGGACACTTGGTATTCCTCAGAGACATCCGGGTGCCTGAATTACAAAAACTGAGTCAACGCTTGGTTTGGTAGGTCTGGGGTTCGGGCAAAATGAGGTGCGGAGGAATTGCGAAAGGTGGCAGGTTAGCGAAACATGATGCAACTCTCCCATGAGGCAAACAGTTCGCACGCAACCCGCTAGCCAACCTCCAAGAGCTAGAGCAGAGCAAGAAAATTGGCGTGACAGAACAAGCTAACTCATTCACTCGCTTTTAGAATACCACCATCACACACCTGCTAGGGATTTTTTGTGAACACAATTCACACAACCAGAATTAGTAGGTGCAGCGCGTATACGCAACGGAAGGGAAACGCAGGCGCCAGATGCGAGTGTGAAGCACGGAGAAAATGGTCGTGAGGAGATGAGAAATTAGCGCTTTGCCGACCTCCGCCCACCTCCCTCGCCCCGCCCGTCGCCCTCGCCGCCTCCCCGCCCGTCGCCCTCGTTCCTCCGCCCGCCCTCGCTTCTCCCATCCCGTCGACCTCGCTTCCCTCGCCCGTCGACCTCACTTCCCTCGCCCGTCGCTCTCGCTTTCCCCGCCTACCACCCTCGCCTCGCCCGTCGCCCTCGCCGCCTCCCCGCTCGTCGCCTTCGGTTCCTCCGCCCGTCGCCCTCGCTTCCCCCGCCCGTCGCCCTCGCTTCCCCTCTTCATCGCTCGCCCGGTCGACCTTTCCTCTCCCACCTGTCGCTGCGTCGACGTCGTTCTCATTCCCGCCGCCGACTCTTCATCGATCTTCCATCTTATTCGCCCTCTCTTCCTCTCCCCGTCGCCCATGCCCATTCCCCTCTCTCGCATCGACGTCCTGGTTCTCCACCCCGCCCTAGTTTCCCCCCCTGATTGCTCTCAGTTCCCCCACCTGATTGCGCTTTGTTTCCCCACCTGATTGCGCTTTGTTTCCCCCACCTGATTGCGCTTTGTTTCCCCCACCTGATTGCGCTTTGTTTCCCCCCCTGATTGCGCTTTGTTTCCCCCCCTGATTGCGCTTTGTTTCCCCCCCCCTTCATTGCGCTCAGTTTCCCCTCTTCATTGCGCTCAGTTTCCCCCCTTCATTGCGCTCAGTTTCCCCCCTTCATTGCGCTCAGTTTCCCCCCTTCATTGCGCTCAGTTTCCCCCCTTCATTGCGCTCAGTTTCCCCCCTTCATTGCGCTCAGTTTCCCCCCTTCATTGCGCTCAGTTTCCCCCCTTCATTGCGCTCAGTTTCCCCCCTTCATTGCGCTCAGTTTCCCCCCTTCATTGCGCTCAGTTTCCCCCCTTCATTGCGCTCAGTTTCCCCCCTTCATTGCGCTCAGTTTCCCCCCTTCATTGCGCTCAGTTTCCCCCCTTCATTGCGCTCAGTTTCCCCCCTTCATTGCGCTCAGTTTCCCCCCTTCATTGCGCTCAGTTTCCCCCCTTCATTGCGCTCAGTTTCCCCCCTTCATTGCGCTCAGTTTCCCCCCTTCATTGCGCTCAGTTTCCCCCCCTTCATTGCGCTCAGTTTCCCCCCTTCATTGCGCTCAGTTTCCCCCCTTCATTGCGCTCAGTTTCCCCCCTTCATTGCGCTCAGTTTCCCCCCTTCATTGCGCTCAGTTTCCCCCCTTCATTGCGCTCAGTTTCCCCCCTTCATTGCGCTCAGTTTCCCCCCTTCATTGCGCTCAGTTTCCCCCCTTCATTGCGCTCAGTTTCCCCCCTTCATTGCGCTCAGTTTCCCCCCTTCATTGCGCTCAGTTTCCCCCCTTCATTGCGCTCAGTTTCCCCCCTTCATTGCGCTCAGTTTCCCCCCTTCATTGCGCTCAGTTTCCCCCCTTCATTGCGCTCAGTTTCCCCCCTTCATTGCGCTCAGTTTCCCCCCTTCATTGCGCTCAGTTTCCCCCCTTCATTGCGCTCAGTTTCCCCCCTTCATTGCGCTCAGTTTCCCCCCTTCATTGCGCTCAGTTTCCCCCCTTCATTGCGCTCAGTTTCCCCCCTTCATTGCGCTCAGTTTCCCCCCTTCATTGCGCTCAGTTTCCCCCCTTCATTGCGCTCAGTTTCCCCCCTTCATTGCGCTCAGTTTCCCCCCTTCATTGCGCTCAGTTTCCCCCCTTCATTGCGCTCAGTTTCCCCCCTTCATTGCGCTCAGTTTCCCCCCTTCATTGCGCTCAGTTTCCCCCCTTCATTGCGCTCAGTTTCCCCCCTTCATTGCGCTCAGTTTCCCCCCTTCATTGCGCTCAGTTTCCCCCCTTCATTGCGCTCAGTTTCCCCCCTTCATTGCGCTCAGTTTCCCCCCTTCATTGCGCTCAGTTTCCCCCCTTCATTGCGCTCAGTTTCCCCCCTTCATTGCGCTCAGTTTCCTTCATGAATGTCCTCCGTCACCCCCCTGCGTACCCTCCCCCCTTTCCTATCATCCCTTCACCCTCTCCCCTCTCTTTCTATCTCTATCGATCCCTCCCTCCTCTCTCTCCCTCATGTCCCCCCTCCAACCCCATATTCCTTTCCTTCCCCTCATGTCTCCCTTTTCTTCCCCCCAGGTCCCCACAATACGCTCTTGATTTCCCGCTTTGCATGCCCTTATCTTCACCTACCGCTTCCTCTCCTTCCCCCCCCTGCTTCCACTCTTTTTCTTACTTGCTTCCCCTCGTTTGCCCCCTACTTACCCTCTTTTGCCACCTTTTTCCCCGTTTTTTTTTTCCCTGGTTCCCCTGTTTCCCCCCCCTGCTTCCCCTGTTTCCCCGCCCTGCTTGCCTTGCACGCAGTCTAGGCCAGCATCCTTCCCGCCTACCCTCTTCTCCCTGTTCCACTCTCTTCTTAGCGCCTCTCTCTCTCCTACTCCCGTATCCCCTATCTACTGCCTTCGCCAAGCCTGACTGTCCTCCTCTCTTCCCCCTCTCCTCTCTTCCCCCTCTCCTCTCTTCCCCCTGTCCTCCTCTCTTCCCCCTGTCCTCCTCTCTTCCCTCTCTCCTCTCTTCCCCCTGTCCTCTCTTCCCCCTGTCTTCCTCTCTTCCCCCTGTCCTCCTCTCTTCCCCCTGTCCTCCTCTCTTCCCCCTGTCCTCCTCTCTTCCCACTGTCCTCCTCCCTTCCCCCTCTCCCCCTCTCTTCCCCCTGTCCTCCTCTCTTCCCCCTGTCCTCCTCTCTTCCCCCTGTCCTCCTCTCTTCCCCCTGTCCTCCTCTCTTCCCCCTGTCCTCCTCTCTTCCCCCTCTCCTCTCTTCCCCCTGTCCTCCTCTCTTCCCCCTGTCCTCCTCTCTTCCCCCTGTCCTCCTCCCTTCCCCCTCTCCCCCTCTCTTCCCCCTGTCCTCCTCTCTTCCCACTGTCCTCCTCTCTTCCCCCTCTCCTCCTCTCTTCCCCCTCTCCTCCTCCTCCTCCTCCTCCCTTCCTCCCCTCTCATCCCTTCCCCCCCACTCTCTTCCCTTACTTCCCACTCTCATCCCTTCCTCCCCTCTCTCATCCAGTCCTTCTCACATTCCCTCTCATTGTGAGCTATGCTTTGCAGCATGGAGCAACCAAGTACGATTTGATTTCATTTGAAGCTACTGTGTGCCCCATTGTGACATCCAACGGCATATGACAACATCTTGATACTGTACTCAAGTTGCGTTTCATGCTGCTGTTATGGTAGCTTCTGTTAGTTTTGTTTGTAACCTTGTACAGTAGAACAGTATACAAATCTTTAGACCCATGCATATTTTATATGAGATGTAAATACACATGACATGAGCGTGCCGTACTAGGATACAAGACAAGCACAAGCCTCTGGGCCTTAGAGATGCTGAAAACAGGAGCAAGCGGAGGTGGCACGTCCATGCAGGGCGTCTGGGCCTCTGTCATGCTCGCCTGGGTTTGTGCGGGGTGAGGGGAAAGGACAGGGCGGGGTGAGGGGAAAGGACAGGGCGGGGTGAGGGGAAAGGACAGGGCGGGGTGAGGGGAAAGGACAGGGCGGGGTGAGGGGAAAGGACAGGGCGGGGTGAGGGGAAAGGACAGGGCGGGGTGAGGGGATAGGACAGGGCGGGGTGAGGGGATAGGACAGGGCGGGGTGAGGGGATAGGACAGGGCGGGGTGAGGGGATAGGACAGGGCGGGGTGAGGGGATAGGACAGGGCGGGGTGAGGGGAAAGGACAGGGCGGGGTGAGGGGAAAGGACAGGGCGGGGTGAGGGGAAAGGACAGGGCGGGGTGAGGGGATAGGACAGGGCGGGGTGAGGGGATAGGACAGGGCGGGGTGAGGGGATAGGACAGGGCGGGGTGAGGGGATAGGACAGGGCGGGGTGAGGGGATAGGACAGGGCGGGGTGAGGGGATAGGACAGGGCGGGGTGAGGGGATAGGACAGGGCGGGTGAGGGGATAGGACAGGGCGGGGTGAGGGGAAAGGACAGGGCGGGGTGAGGGGATAGGACAGGGCGGGGTGAGGGGATAGGACAGGGCGGGGTGAGGGGAAAGGACAGGGCGGGGTGAGGGGAAAGGACAGGGCGGGGTGAGGGGAAAGGACAGGGCGGGGTGAGGGGAAAGGACAGGGCGGGGTGAGGGGATAGGACAGGGCGGGGTGAGGGGATAGGACAGGGCGGGGTGAGGGGATAGGACAGGGCGGGGTGAGGGGATAGGACAGGGCGGGGTGAGGGGATAGGACAGGGCGGGGTGAGGGGAAAGGACAGGGCGGGGTGAGGGGAAAGGACAGGGCGGGGTGAGGGGAAAGGACAGGGCGGGGTGAGGGGATAGGACAGGGCGGGGTGAGGGGATAGGACAGGGCGGGGTGAGGGGATAGGACAGGGCGGGGTGAGGGGATAGGACAGGGCGGGGTGAGGGGATAGGACAGGGCGGGGTGAGGGGATAGGACAGGGCGGGGTGAGGGGATAGGACAGGGCGGGGTGAGGGGATAGGACAGGGCGGGGTGAGGGGATAGGACAGGGCGGGGTGAGGGGATAGGACAGGGCGGGAGGGGATTGAGCATGCTCGTTCAAGGGGTGTGCACATCAGCGACGGAGGGGACGTAGTGTGGGTGACGGGAGGGAATGGGGGCGGGCAATGGGAAGAGAGTGAGCGCGGGCGGGCGGAAGCAAGAAGGGAGGGAGTGATGAAGGATGTGAGGGAGGGCGGAAGGGGGGAATGCAGGAAGGGAGGGAGTGATGAAGGGAGGAAGAGGGGTCGGGAGGACAGGGGGAAGGGATCCCTGCAGCACCACGTAGGCCTCTGCTGCGCGACTCTGCCCGCCGCCATCCGCCCACAGCGCCCCAAGCAGCTCCCGGGTGCACGCAAGGCCGAGGACAGTGTGGGAAACACCTGGAGGAGAGGGGGAGAGGATCGGATGGGGGAAGGACGGATGGGGAGACGATCAGATGGGGAGAGGACGGACGGGGAGAGGACGGATAGGGAGAGGAGGGACGGGGAGAGGAGGGATGGGGAGAGGACGGATAGGGAGAGGAGGGACGGGGAGAGGAGGGATGGTAAGAGGAGGGATGGGGAGAGGAGGGATGGGGAGAGGAGGGATGGGGAGAGGAGGGATGGGGAGAGGAGAGACAGGGAGAGGAGGTATAGTAAGAGGAGGGGATGGGGAGAGGACGGGAGGCAGAATGGGTTGAGGCGGAATGGGGTGAGGAGGCCTGGATGGAAAGAGCAGGAGATGGGGTGAGGCGGAGATGGGGTGAGGAGGGGTGGACGGAAAGAGGAGGAGATGGGGTGAGGGGGGAAAGGGGAGAAGAGGAGATAAAGTGAGGAGGGGACAAGGGGGACGGAGGGAAGTAGGGTGCGCGACAAGCGGGGTTTGGGTGGAATGGGGTGGGGCGGAATGGGGGGAGGCGGAATGGGGTGAGGCGGAATGGGATGGGGCGGAATGGGGTGGGGCGGAATGGGGCGAGGTGGAATGGGGGGAGGGAGAAGCACGGCGGGAGTGGCGGAGCGAGTGGAAAGGGAGGAGGGAGAGGAGAGAGAGCAGGGTAAGGAATGAGAGGAGAGGGGAGAGGGAGAGGAAGACCAGAGAAGTGATGGACGGGGAGGTGAGGGATGGGGAGATGAGGGATGGAGAGGTGAGGGATGGGGAGATGAGGGATGGCGTGATGATGGCATGGCGGAAAGGGGTGGGGCGGAATGGAGTGGGGCGGAATGGGGTGGGGCGGATTGGGGAGATGGGGAAGGGGAGATGGGGGATGGGGAGATGAGGGAAGGGGAGGGGAGGGATGGGAAGGCGAGGGATGGGGAGATCAGGGATGGGGAGGTGGAATGGGGTGAGGCGGAATGGAGTGATCGTTCGAGATGAGGAGATGAGGCATGGGGTGGGGAGGCATGGGGAGATGAGGGAAGGGGAGGTGAGGAATGGGGAGATGCGGGATGGTCAGATGAGGGATGGGGAGATGCAAGATGGGGAGCAGAGGCAAGTGGGGTGAGGGATGAGGAGATGAGGGATGGGGATGGGAAGAGGAGAGATGGGGGGTGGAGGGAGGGTTGGAGGAGGGATGGGGAGAGGAGGAGATGGGATGACGATACGAAAAGAGAGGACGTGCGGTCGTGATTTGGGAGAACGGGAAGAGATGGAAAGGGAGAGCGAGGGCGCCAGTGTGCGATGGGAGGGAATCGGCCGTGCGCCCCAAGCGGGGTGCGGCGGAAGGGAATGCGCGAAGGCGACGGGAAGGTCACGAGCGCTAACGACGGAAGGGAGAGCGCGCACACCACGGAAGGGAGTGCGCGCACACGACCGTAGGGAGAGCGCGTGGGCGACGGAGGGAGTGCGCGTGGGCGACGGAAGTGGAGTTACCGAGCGCGACAGAGGGGAGTGAGCTTGGCGACGGAGGGGAGTGTGCTGGGCGACGGAAAGGAATGAGGAGGGGCGAAAGAGGCGTCTCGCGAAGGCGACTGGAGGGGAGGGAGCATGATCGCACGTCGGGAAGGAAGCGTGAGTGACGGGAGGGAGTGCTCATCCTCTAATGAGGGGTGTGCGCGAAGGCGACGGGAGGGGAGTGCACGAAGGCAACGGGAGGGGAGTGCGCGAAGGCAACGGGAGGGGAGTGCGCGAAGGCGACGGGAGGGGACTGCGCGAAGGGGACGGGAGGGGAGTGCGCAAAGGCGACGGGAGGGGAGTGCGCGAAGGCGACGGGAGTGGAGTGCGCGAAGGCGACGGAAGGGGAGTGCGCGAAGGCGACTGGAGGGGAGTGCGCGAAGGCGACGGGAGGGAAGTGCGCGAAGGCGACGGGAGGGGAGTGCGCAAAGGCGACGGGAGGGGAGTGCGCGAAGGCGACGGGAGGGGAGTGCGCGAAGGCGACGGGAGGGAAGTGCGCGAAGGTGACGGCGACGATATAAATGGACCAAAATCTATGTAAGGCGGAATGCTCTACCCTGGACAGAGAACCGGGCGCGGCTAGGAACAACCGCGACATCGATGCGCCTGGCGAAGGGGCAGTGAAACGGCGGACGACTATGGGCATATGCGCGTGAATGGGCATGGCTAGCTACGTGCAGTGAAAACGAGATGTAAGGCGCGCGGATCAGCAAGGGCGACTGATCCCGTCGGAATGGAGGAACCCTAAACCGGCGTGGAAGTCGGCGCGGTGAATCTCTTCTAAGCTATGACTTCCCCAAGTTTGGCCCTGAACTCTGCGTTTTTTGTCGACCTGAATTACAGATTTCGAGATAGGTGTGCACACCTCAGCCAAGAGTGGTGGTGAGACCCCTGCGATCCTTCCCTACGCACCCTGCGACTTTCCTCACGTTTTGAAGGTGAGACCTGGTAACCACCCTGGTTCGGGAGGGGAGGTGTTAACACCTCCCAACTTTTTTTGTAATTCAGGCTGCGGGTTTTAAGGGCGACCCTTACAAACTTTCGTGCCGGAATCGAATGGTCCCGTCCCTGAGTGAGACGCATCTGCGATCCGAACAGCTGTAGTACAACTGCACATTTGACTTGTGTTTTCTGTGCTCACAGTCAGCCTAGGTGGGTGTTGTTCCACTGTTAGGGACATTCAGGAACTTCATGTGTGCTCTTCACTTGTATTCTGCAGCAGTCACGACTCGATAGGCCAAAGGGTGTTTCTTAGAGACACACTGAGTCAGGGTACCCTTTGATAGAACCCGGACCAGAAAGGGTGGTCTTTCTACGGATTCGGAATTTTACGTATGTTTACGTGGGGCCCCCGGAGGCATCCGGGTCTCTAAAAACGAAAAATAGCCCTGCATGGAATGAAATGGTTCAATCTCTATACACATGATGCTCACCCCCTGCACGCAAAATTTCCCTTCACCGGATGGATACATTGCACCCGTGGGTTTTGTGCCGTGAAGCTGCACCCCACTTACAAGCACCTGAACCAATCGTAACCACAGAAACCGAATCTTGACTGAAAAGACCGAAGTCAAATAGTCAACGGTGAGTTACAATGTTTTTTATAAGCCCTTTTTGCTTGGTGCGAATTGACGAAATCTTTGCGAAATGCAAGAATCGCTTATACGCCCAGAGAGGGCAAGGTCGGGGGGCTCAACCGGGCATCGTGTGTATTGCAGTGCTATGCTGTCGTGTACTGCACGCTGGACTGTTTTGTGGATGAGGTGAGGTGGTGTTGTCTCTGTGGATTGTCCTTGCACTTACTGTACAGTGCAGAGGTATGCTGGCGAATCTAAGGACGTGGGCCCAATCGAATTTGATCGGCTCTGATCGGATCGGGTTGGGTCGGATCGGATTGCTTGTGATCGTTTTTCTCGCGCCGCCCGATCAGAGATGATTTTCCTCGAATGTTTCGCGCTCTTGCATGAAAACTGTCGGTCCATTACCTGGTAGTTGCATCTCAACTTTGGCGAGACGGACGAATCTCAGTATCGTGGTAATGTCGCCAACATCGCCCGCACCGCACAAGGTCCGTTCCAGTTCGAGGGCTATGGCATACAGTTCTCGCCGATCTGGGTGTATTCGCAAGGATTTTCGAGACCTCATGGCGAGGCGTGTTACTTTCGCGTACATCGCCCAGGTCGCCGATCACATCCAATCAAGTGATTGGGGCTGATTGTGTCTGATCGGGTCTGATCGGGCTGTTTGAGGCGGTTGATTGAGTTGGCGCGATCAGCTGATCGCGATCAGCTGATTGCCCCCGATTGCCTGAAATCTGCTTCCCGCCTTCCTCGAAGTTTTTGATCGCCTCTGATCGCGCCGATCAAAGTCGATTGGGCCCACGTCCTACTACAGCAGTTCGGTGGATTGGTTGGCGAAAACTGACATTTGTTTTCGGTTGCCCTAGCAGCCCTAACATCGACCTCTTTTGTAGATCTGGATTAGGTCTTTCGTCCCCTTTTCGAACTGACACACCACCCTGTTCAGGGTGTAGGCAATTTAATCCTTCTGAGAGAAAAAGTACGGCATGCTAGAGAATCTATGCAACGGGCTAAATTTTAGACTCACGCTACAGAGCAGTACTTTTCAGAATACAAGCATGTATGACGTCAAGTTCCTTCAAGCTTTACCTTCTTCCCCATGGCGGCCATAGGCATCCGTCATTATTCAAGGACCAGCGATTTCGTCAAGCCATTGTGGTGCTGCAAGCAAAACCTTGTTCCTGCAGGGCGGGCGATGAATGCAAGCTTGCAGCCTGATTTTCCCCGACCAATTCATGTGGCCTTGTTTCTGTTGTTGAAGTCCAGTCACTAGTGCTTGAGCTGCGGTTCCATGCCAACTGTTACAGTGTTACGGCGACGACATGGACTGCACGGGATTGCCGGCTTCCATGGGGCGTCGGGACGGGTTTCGAACCCTACGCGGAGACAGTTCTGTCTTCACTGACACTATACTTGAAGAAACGGCGAATTTCGAAGTGAATGGAACGGCGTCGTCTAACGGGGATGAGGAAGTGGCGGAGGATTGCGAGGGCTTGCTCACGCGGCGAGATGAAGCAGTAGGCTACGAGGGGGGTGGTTGCTACCCATCGGTACTAAGATTAAAGCCACAGCAGAAACGGCTACTAATTTTGAAAAATTCCGCGCGAATGTCGCCATATTCTCTGAATTCTACGGGTTGATCCCGCAAAGTCGGGTTACGATTCGTCCGCTCTCGCCACGTCCCCGTGTCATGACGCAAACGCGCCGAGAACTTCTGGAACGGCCTTGTCGTGCTTCACCGACAATGGGAATGGCGCACGCGGATTGGATGATGAGGAAAACGATCGTGGGGAGAACGAGAAAGAGGCGGCGAGAGAAGAGAGAGCAGAAGACGCAGGGGAAAGTGAGGGAGATGACAGGAGTGAATCCATTTTGGAAGAGTGGGATGAGGAGTATCATGCGCCTGATGACGATGATGGGGGGCATGAGAGTGATGATGATGGGGGGCATGAGAGTGATGATGATGGGGGGCATGAGAGTGATGATGATGGGGGGCATGAGAGCGATGATGATGGGGGGCATGAGAGCGATGATGATGGGGGGCATGAGAGCGATGATGATGGGGGGCATGAGAGCGATGATGATGGGGGGCATGAGAGCGATGATGATGGGGGGCATGAGAGCGATGATGATGGGGGGCATGAGAGCGATGATGGCCGAGGGTGTCATGATGGTGGGGGGTATGCGTCTGATGATGGCGGGGGGCACAACGAGTTCGGTCCTGAGGAGGAGGAGGCAGAGAAGGCTATGCTTGAAGAAGCAGAAAAGGCTATGGAGGAGCGATCCATGGCGGAAGAGGGGGTCGCGGACGAGGCGGCGAAAGGGCGGCAGCGGCAGCAGTCGTGGCTGTCGAGTGTGGAGTGGTTCGTGTCGTGGCCGCTCAGACGACTCAGCCACCCGTGGCGTAAGGTACGCCGTTAAAGTACCACCCGAACGGGTGTGTGTGTATGTGTGTGTGTGTGTGTGTGTGTGTGTGTGTGTGTGTGTGCGTGCGTGCGTGCGTGCGTGCGTGCGTGCGTGGGTGCGTGAGTGCGTGCGTGCATGTGTGTGTGCGTGTGCGTGTGTGTGCTGTGCGTGTGTGCGTATGTGTGTGTGTTTGCGCACGCGCGCATGCGTGTGCGTGCGTGCGTGGCGCAGGGTATGCTGCGAATGCCGCAGTGCTGTGGGGACCGAGACGCTGCTGCGTGTACTGGTCCTGGTTCGTGTGAGTCGACTCAAAACGCGTACTGGTCCCGGTTTGTACGCCATGTGTGTGGCCTTGTGCGCGTGAAAGAAAAAAAAGGTTCTATGACCTCCGAGGTTTTGGCTGTGTTGTCATTTCTGCGGGTGGGGGCTGCGGGTTGCAGCAGCCATCCTGCCGCTGGTGTATCTACCGGCGTGGCAGCACTCCGCTTCGCAGCACTCCGCTTCGCAGCACTCCGCTTCTCAGCTTGCCCCTGTGGTCACACCCCTCCCTCCACCCTCCTTCCCCCTCCCAGCGTGTGCTGTGGGTGTGGGTGCTGGTGGCAGCGGCCATCCTGTCGATGGTGTTTCTAACGGCGTGGCAGCATGTCAAGGTGCACGAGATGCACGACACGCCCAGGCCCGTGCTTCTCTTTTTTTGCCCCTCTGCTCACGCCCCCCCTCCCAACCTCCCCGTTCGCCCTCCCACGCCCCCTCACTTCCCCGCCAGACCATCCCCCTCCCAGCGTCTGCTATGGGTGCGGGTGGGGCTGGCAGCAGCTATCATGTCATTCGTGTTTCTGACGGCGTGGCAGCACGCCAAGACGAATGAGAAGCACGGCTCGCAGAGCCATGTGCTTCTCTGCTCCTCCTTCCCCCACTGCCCTGCCTCCCCCCCCACTCGGACCATCCTTCTCCCAGCGTGTGCTGTGGGTGTGGGTGCTGGTGGCAGCAGGCATCCTATCGATGGTGTTTTTCACGGCGTGGCAGCATGCCAAGACAAACGAGAAGCGCGACCTGGAGGGGCACTGCGACGAGTGGGCGGCGTTCATCGGCGCCAAGTTCAACACCACTGCCGCCAACACACGCTCCATTTCCGACTTCATCTGTGCTTACTACATTGATAGGTGCTTGATGTTTGCCCATTCAATCACCACTCTTGATGTTTGCCCATTCAATCACCTCTTCCCCCATCCAGTTACTGTGCTCCCTGCTACCCTTCCCTCCCACATTTTTCCCTCTCCCTTTTCCCTTCCACCAACCCCCCTTCCCCCCACCAACCGATCCCACCCCTATCACCTCCGCCACTCATCCCCCCCCCCTCGCCCCCCCCCGGGTTTTCAGCATGAAGGAAAATTTTCTTGGCTTGGGGAAATTCCAGCTACTCTTTACAGTCGAGTCGACCTTAATATATATTCAAATTCTTCCCTCCACCACACCTTCCCCTGGCAATCAGCATGAAGGAAAACTTTCTTGGCTTGGAGAAATTCCAGCGGTTCACTCAGGCTACTCTTGACAGTCGACCCATGGCCTCATGTGAGCTGCATGTGATTTGAACCCATGGCATCATGTGAGTTGCATGTGGATCTATGTTGCATTTTGTCAACATAGATGTGGGTTGATTTCCCCCCTTTTCCACAAACCCCCACTCCTCCCCTGCCCACCTCCTCATCTTCCCCCCACCGCTCCCTTGGATTCCCCGTTTTCTTTCCCCTCCCCCTCACCCACTTCTCCCTCCTCCCCCTCCCACCCCCGCGCTCCTATCCTATTGCGCCCCAAAGAAAGCCTCTGCCCAGCCACGCGGTTCTTCCGTCTCCCCCACTGAGTTCTTCATGTTCCCCATGCGTGTGTATGCCGCCCACCCACCCACCCACCCACCCACCTACCCACCCACCCACCCACCCACCCACCCACCCACCCACCCACCCACCCACCCACCCACCCACCCACCCACCCACCCACCCACCTACCCACCCACCCACCCACCCACCCACCCACCCACCCACCCACCCACCCACCTACCCACCCACCCACCCACCCACCCACCCACCTACCCACCCACCCACCCACCCACCCACCCACCCACCTACCCACCCACCCACCCACCCACCTACCCACCCACCCACCCACCCACCCACCCACCCACCTACCCACCCACCCACCCACCCACCTACCCACCCTGTTGCGTGCAGTCGTGGCGTTCACTCTCCTCGTGAACAACTCGTTCATCCGAGACAGAATCGAGAGGACCGCCGGCCACTGCCTTTACGGGCTCGAGCCTAATGGCTCCATGTCTTGCCGCCCGCGTGGGCTGCCCCTGTACGCGCCACTGCTGGTCTTCAACGCGCGCAAGGACTACAACCCGCGGCTGAGGCCCGCTGTTGCTGGATGCTGTTATGACATGCTGGATGGTGAGTCAACGCTATGGCAGGTGAGTCAACTCAACCCTAGTTTTGAGGCGCCTCAAAGCTAGACATGCTGGATGGTGAGTCAACGCTATGGCAGGTGACTGACTCAACCAACCCCACGGGTCCCTCTTATCAGTCCAAAGGTCTACCTCAAAATGTCTCTGTGGCCAAAGGGCTGTGAGGGACTTGATCCACCGGACCATCAACTCAGCCTCCTCCGTCATGTCCCCAAGAGATTTCAGGGAATCATGAATCACTCCCTCCTCTCCACCCTGCCCTCCTTCACCACCGCCTCCCACCCCCTGCCACCCCCGCCCACCCCGTCCCACCCCGTCCCACTGTCCGTCTCAGACCCAGGAGTGAGTGACATGATCCACCGAGCCATCGATTCAGCCGCCGCCGTCATGTCTGCGCCTTTCATGCGCGACAACTACCCCTACCATTTCATCAGCCAAGTCTTCCCAGTCTACTTCAACCTCACCACCTTCGCCCTGCCCCCCTCGCCCTCCCCTCCCTCCGTCGCCATCCCTCCGCTTGCCACCCCTGGCCCCGGGGTGCTTCCCCGGGGGTTCGTCGTTGCGGGGTATAACTTTGCAAACCTGAGATCGCTTGTGGGGTTTCAGCAGCTGGTGGATCTGAAGACGAGGGTTTACCTGGTGGACGGTACCAAAGGGGGGGCTTGGGATGGTGCGCGGAATAAGGCAGCACGGAATGAGGACGGAAAGACTGATAGATGGATGCCTGCGCTGTTATTTGACCATGAGGGGGTGGTGGGTGAGGAGGAGATTGGCGCGTGGATGGTGGATGGGGAGGAGAAGAGCGGGGGAGAGTGCGACGGGCGGTGTATTTGGGGGATCCAACAAAGAGGTTCTATATCTTCTGCGAGTAAGTTGATGTGTGCATGCATGCGTACGTGCATGAATGTATATATGCATACGAATTGCACGCGTTCGTTCGGCCATGGAACTGTGAAACATGCATGCTCGCATACATGCACACACACACACACGCACGCACGCACGCACGCACGCACGCACGCACGCACGCACGCACGCACGCACGCACGCACGCACGCACGCACGCACGCACGCACACCCACACATACATACATAAATACATACATACGTGCACATCCAGAAAATATTCCATCAACTCTTGCCTTTCTAAAACGCCATAACAACATACCAATTTTCTTGCCGCTGTAATTCAACCATCCGCATCCTCCCTTCCCACTGTTCCCCTCCTGCATGCCCCCTCCCTCCCCCCCGTCCCTCCGCCCTCCATCCCGCCACAGGCACACCTCATACAGCAGGCCATTCGGCCCGTTCATCTGGATAATAGTCGCCGTGCTCTTCATGGCCGTCTCCACCTTCCTCCTCTGGACGAGCATCCAGCTCATGCACGCCTTTGAGTGCGACTGCCAGCACCTGGCGATAGCGCAGGAGGAGCTGCGCACCGCGCGGGTGGAGGCGGAGGCGGCGAGCCGCGCCAAGGGAGACTTCCTCACGACTGTGAGCCTCGAGATCCGCACGCCCATGAACGGTGTCATAGGTAAGTGACTTTTGAGGCGCCTCAATGGTAAGTGAATCAACCTTTCGTGTGCCTTTTGTGTCTTCTTTTGGTGCTGTGCATTAGGACTGTAGAGAGATCTCAAAGGTTGATGCAAGCTGTTCTAATCTCCTTGTCCCCATCACCTCCTCCTTCAATGTCACGTCCCTAAGGCCAGTGGAGAACGAGAAAATCGGGGTGGTATGTGGGGATTCGCAATATGAGGGTCATATATTTATAGTAGGCTTAAATGTGACTTAAACGATATTTAGAGTGCATAGACGGATTTCTATAGAGTGGCTTCAAAACCTGATAGCAGATTGATGTTGTCTCCAAGTAACGAATATAATCACGTGATCTCACGACGAAATGAAGACCTTATGATACTTTAATAATCAGCAACTATAGTCTTAGGAAACAAATGTTCGAGTTGGTAATGACTCTCAGCCTTTACAAACCTCAAGAGCAGAATTCCAAAGAGGTGCAAGAGTCTTACACAGTCCCTAACCTCGAATGTTCTTGAAAATACATTTTAAACGGCCCACGTCATTTTTGGTTATCATTGTTTGTTCTATCCCAGGTATGTTAAACCTGCTGATGGAGACCCCTCTGGACGGCACGCAGCAGGACTATGCGGAGACGGCATGCAGCAGCGGGCGGGCGCTGTGTGCGCTGATCAACGACATTCTCGACCTCTCCAAGATCGAGGCCGAAAAGCTGCACCTCGAACGCATCCCGTTGGACCTGCGCGCCGAGCTCGACGACGTCCTCACACTCTTCGTGGAGAGCGCCCAGGAGAAGCGCTCGGTGGAGCTGGCAGCCTTCGTGGCCGCCGATGTGCCCAAGACGCTGCTTGGGGACCCGCTTCGAGTGAAGCAGGTGGGTGTAGTGTTGGAAGTACACATGAGCAAGCACCGAACTCGAACCGTTTCGGGTCGAACCGAGTCAGTCTTTGTCATTCTTAGCACGGATATTGCTGCACTGATGTTTGCACTCAATCACTTTATCCGTTGCATTCGTGGCACATCCCTTGCTCACCCTGTGTGTGCTTGTTTGTTTGTTTGATTGTTTATTTTTCTGTATGCAACAGATACTCATCAATCTCATCGGTAACGCCCTCAAGTTCACCACCAAGGGCCATGTCTTCATTTCCGTGCGCCTCGCAACCGCCACCGAGAGCAACAACAACAATGGTGATAACGGCGGTGCTCCCCCGTCGCTGGTCTCAGCTGCCTCCTCCACATCCTCCTGCTCACCCTCACCATCACCGTCACCATCATCCCCCCTCTCCAAAGAGTCGCCCGCTAGGCACCACTCCTGTGGCAATTGCTTTGCCAGTGCAAACAACCAAAGAGAGGGGAAGGATGCGGCTGGGGTAGATGGAGAAACTGCTGGGGTGGATGGCACTTGTGGTGGCGATGGTGACACTCGTGACGACGATGGCACGTGTGATGAAAATGGTTCCAGTGCTGATGTGGGCACTAGTACCAGTAGGCCTGTTGTGGAGACGTCTACCGAGTCTGCGTGTGTGACACTGAGTGGCCGGCTAGCCATGAAGACATGGTGCTCATGGGAGGGCATGCGAGAGCACATGGATCTTGCTGCTGTGGGCATGGGCATGGGCATGGGCATGGGCAAGGGCATGGCGAATGATACTTGCCGTGTCCCTTGGATCCTGCCTCCCGACCAGCCTGTGCGCCTGATGGTGGCTGTGGAAGACACAGGTACGGGCATCCCGCGCCATGCTCGGAGGCACATCTTCCGGCCGTACGCCCAGGCAGAGCGCAGCACGGCACGGCTGCATGGAGGCACGGGCATCGGCCTCTCCATCTGCAAGGTGCTTTAAATGGTATCTGGCATGGGCTTTAAGGTGTGTCTCATCGGCCTCTCCATCTGCAAGGTGGCCTCTCCATCTGCAAGGTGGGTTGGTTGGGAATGAGACAGCTGCCTTGTGAGGTGCGTTGTGAGTGGGGGGGGAGCGGGCATCGGGCTCTCCATCTGCAAGGTGGGTTGCGTTGTTGGGGATCCTACATTGCTATCCTTCTTTTCCTGGCCATATCCTTCCATTTTCCCAATCACATCCTCTCTACCTCCACATCCCCTTCCCCCTCCCCCACATGAGCAGCGCCTGGTGTCGATGATGGGCGGATCCATCTCCTTCACCAGCAAGCCAGGCGTCGGCACCACCTTCCTCTTCGATATCCTCCTCCACACGCCCCCTCTCCCTCACCCTCCTCCCTCCCCTCCTCATCCTCCCAAACCCAACACCCCTCCACAAACCAGCACTTCTCCTCATGCCCCTGTCCCACCTCCCCCCTCTCTCTCACTCCCTCCGCCCCTGCTTACGGCATCTCCAACCTCTTCTCGAACCGATGGAGCTCTCACTACCAACCCCTCTGCTGCCACTCCCTCTGGCCCTCCATGCATCTCCTCTCCTCTTACTCAAAACGCCTGCAACGTGCCTCCCCAAGGCCCAGGCAACCAGCAGCAGCATCAGTTGGCATGCTGGTTAGAGAGTATGTGTGCGTTGAGTGGTGTGAGTGGTGGGGGGGCGGCGTGTGTGCTAGAGGGAGTGTGTGTGGTGAGTGTGGACGACCGGCCGGTGCGGCATGCCGTCACTCTCTCTCTGCTGCGCCGCCTTGGCATCTGCACCCTCCCCTGCCCCTCCTTCCACCTCCTCCCCCGCCTCCTCGCCCAACACCGTGCCTTGCACCATGGGTCATGCCATGCCATGCACCATGCAGAGCAGGAGCAGGAGCAGGAGCAGGAGCGGCTTTCCTGCACACAAACCAGCACAGGACCTATCAGCAACCACTCATGTCCTCCTCTCAAGCCTCATCTCGAGCCGTTGGGTCATTTTCTTGAGCCGCTGACTCATCCTCTCGAGCCCCTGACTCATCCTCTCGAGCCGCTGACTCATCCTCTCAAGCCGCTGACTCATCCTCTCGAGCCTCCTCTGGAGCCGTTTGGCTCGCCGGCTGTTCTTGTCACTTCTCTTGCCTTCCGCCCCTCTGCCTCCACCCGCACTGCTTCTTCCGACCGTTGCTCCCCTCTCTCTCTCGCTCCCCTTTCCCGCCAGTCCTCCTGCCCTCCTCTTTCGGTTCTTGTCCACTCTTCAAGCGAGAATGGCTTGGATGAAAGGGAGGAGGAGCAGTCGTCGCATCAAAGGACGCAGATGCTCTTGCGGAAGCAGCAGGAGGAAGAGGGAGAGGAGGAGGAGGGGGAAGGGGAGGGGGAGGAGGAAGGCAAAAAGGAGGAGGAAGACGAGGAAGAAGGGGTGGAGGTGGATGGAGAGGAGGGGGTGCAGCAGCAGCAGGTGCACTACAAGTGCTTGAGCAAGGAGGAGAGGCGGGGATGGGTGGGGGCGGTGGTGGTGGAGGGGGAGATGATGCAGCGGCTGGGCGTCACAGCAGATCATTTCCATTCTCTCTTGATGGACCAGGGGGGGGCTGGGATGGCGGGATCTGGCGAACCGATGAGCGAGCGAGAGCAGATGAGTGCGGACGAGCACGTGAGTGAGAGAGAGCAGACGAGCAAGGGAGGACACATGAGTGGGGGCAGGAAGGAAGGTGGGGGGATGACAAGGGAGGGAGTGGGCAGGTGTGCAGTGGAGGCAAAAGCACATGAAAGCAAGAGCATCAAGCAAAGCAGCTTGCATGGGTGGCCCGTCCCCTTCCTTGTGCTCGTGCACGGCTCTCTCCCCCTCCCACCCACTTCTCGTGCCGGAGGCCTTCCCGCGGCTGACAGCTTCAGCTGTTACGAAAAGGATGCTTATAAAGGGGACAGCTTTTCCCAAGACCCTGATTCGGGCGGTCACAAGGAGGTCACCTGTGAGGCGCCACGGAAACGGAGGGGTCGGACTGGAGAGCGGAGCAGGGACATGAGTAGGAGAAGCAGCTGTAAGAGCAAGGAGAGGGGCGGAAAGGCTGAAATATTGGATGGCAGGGTGGGGGAGATGTATTGTGGGTGTAAGCCGGGTGACTGTAACGATGTGACGAGGGGATGCAGCAGGAGCAGGAGCAGGTCGCTTGGGCCCTCCCTCTCGCTCTCGCCTGCGCCCTCAATCTCGCCCTCCCCGTCCATCCCCTCGCTATTGTCACTTGGCTTCGATGCTGTTATAAGGAAGCCCCTGCGTAAGCCGGCGCTGCTGGCGGCGCTTCTGCCGCTGTTCCCTGTGGGCCCGGAGCGAAGTGAGTGTGAGCTGGAGGGTGAAGGAGGAGGAGGAAGAGGCAAGTACGAGGAAGCAGCTCAGGGAGGGATGAGAGGCGGGTGTCATATTGTGGGAACGAGTGGTTAAGTGAAATTCAGCCGAGATCCTTCCCACCAGCAGCAGCAGCAGAAACTGGTTTCAAGAGATATCGCGACTGTATACCACCGTCCTCTCACTATAGACTGTAGTGGCAGTACCGATCGACAGGGTGTGAGGCAGGGTGAGAGACAGGGACAGTGGGGTGGTGCGGCATCGGAGCTAGTGAGCCCATCGGCCCTCCACAAGGCTGGCAGCAGCACTGCAGCAGCCCTCTGGCGAGCTGTGACGTCCCCCCGGGCTCTCATGTCCCACCAGTCCCTCACTTCCCCTCAGTCGCTCGATTCCCCCCGCTTGTTTAAGTTGCGCCGATCTCACTCTCCCACCTCTCCCACCTCTCCCACCTCTCCCACCACACCCAACACTCCCACCACTCCCACCACACCCACCACTCCCACCACTCCCGCTTCTGACTCGGCCAGATTCAAAGCTGCAAGCCCTGTGGCGGCACGAAACACGTCACCCAATGCCAAGACTGGCCGTGTTGCCTCTCTACCGGAAATAGGGCTGATCGTGTGTGAGGAGGAGACATCGCTTGGAGGGCGGCAGCAGCAGCAGCAGCAGCAGCAGGGCATGGATGGCAATAGTGCCTCCTTGGTGAACCAGTCTGCTTCCCTCGAGCACCTGATTGCACCGGCTGCAACCGCACATGCTGCTGCTGCTGCTGCTGCTTCAGCAGGCTTTGCATTGGTTGCTGCTACAGCGAGTGGAGGTGGTAACTTGGCGACAGGTGGTAGAGCCCTCGGGAGAGGCTCCAGTGCTGGGGAAGGAGGTGGTTCAGGCAAAAGGAGGGCATGCGTGCACGGCTCAGCAGGTAGAAGAAGAGCAGCTAGGCGGTCCCATGCAAGACAGAGTGATAAGAGGCTAGCGCGGACACCAGAGGTGCTGGTGGCGATGATGGTGCTGCTGCTGCTGCTGCTGCTGCTGCTGCTGCTGCTGCTGCTGCTGCTGCTGCTGCTGCTGCTGCTGCTGCTGCTGCTGCTGCTGCTGCTGCTGCTGCTGCTGCGGCTGCTGCTGCTGCTGCGGCTGCTGCGGCTGGTGGTGGTGGTGGCAGAGTGAGTGGGTTTGAGAGTGTGCTGGATTTCGTAGGGTTCTCTCCTGCCACTTCTTGTTCCTTGCTTGGAACACTTTCCCCTGCCCTTACACGCACACCATCGCCGTCACTCTCACCAGCCCCAGCACCTGCTACACCACAACCAGCATTTTCAACAGTAGCACAAACAGCAGCAGCAGCAGCCCCGGCAGCAGCGGCAGGGGAGCCGGCGACTGTTGGGGAGACGCTGGCGGTGCTGTGGGGTCGGCGGGTGATGGTGGTGGATGACAACCTCATCAACCGCAAGGTGGCCAGCAAGCTGCTGGAGAGGCACGGCGCGCGAGTCACTGCCGTGGATGGCGGCATCAAGGCGCTTCAAGCCCTCACCCCGCCCCACCCCTACGACCTGGTATTTATGGACGTCCAGATGCCAGGCATGGATGGGCTGGAAGCGACTCGCAGGATCCGAGCGCGGGAGAGGGCTCAGGGCGGGGGGCATGTGGCCATCATTGCACTCACAGCGGATGTGATTGCCGGCACGCGCCAGCACTGCTTTGCCGTCGGCATGGATGACTACCTCTCCAAACCCCTCCACGACACTCACCTCTCCAAGGTTGTCTGGCGCTGCCTCGCCATTACTTGATCATACACACTAGAAGTGCATTATGGATGTTTGGTAATCAGGAATGTTATACATGGTGATTCATGTAGTCTTTGAGTCTCCATCAAGTCGTTTAATTTATTACATGGACGAATGCTTTGGAGGTGCTGATATTTGTACCAAATAGAGTTCTACAGGGTAGAATATGGCTATGAGTAAGAGTGGAAATCTATTTTTGGAGTGAAAAGTTTGCACTCCATATACAGTAGTTTTCCGTTAAAGGAGATGAGGCAAACAACTTCTGCTCCGATCTGACCGTGCGCAGGGTGGGCGTGTGTGGCCTGGGTTTTTGGCTTGCCCAAGGTGTATAGGTACAGGCTGTGTGCGTTCCTGTGGTGCGCTGTCATGGGATGGAATGGTTGAGTTCGGTTTCCGTAAGCACTATGGCTGCTGGTTGCAGTGCTATGTTGTCGTGTACTGTACCCTTGCAGTCTCCGTGGATGAGGTGAGGTGTGCAGAAAGTGTGGCGGGGATTGATTCTGGACGTACAGTTGCGACGGTAGGATAGCGAATTTAATGCAACAGTTGGGTGGCTTGTTTGCGAAGCCTGAACATTTGTTTCCAGTTGCCCTAGATACCCTAACTTCCACCTCTCTTTTTGATATCGATTCTACATGCCACTTCGTTCCAGAAACGGAACCCAGGGTGTAGTTAAGTATTATTATATCTAGGAGAAGGAGGAACACGGTTGCTTTGGAAAAAACCAGGCAACGGGCTGAAAGAATAGACACTCTACGTTACGGATATTATAGAGTCCTCCAGAATCTGAGGACGTGGGCCCAATCGACTTTGATCGGCGCGATCATAGGCGATCAAAAACTTCGAGGAAGGCGGGAAGCAGATTTCAGGCAATCGGGGGCAATCAGCTGATCGCGATCAGCTGATCGCGCCAACTCAATCAACCGCCTCAAACAGCCCGATCAGACCCGATCAGACACAATCAGCCCCAATCACTTGATTGGATGTGATCGGCGACCTGGGCGATGTGCGCGAAAGTAACACGCCTCGCCATGAGGTCTCGAAAATCCTTGCGAATACACCCAGATCGGCGAGAACTGTATGCCATAGCCCTCGAACTGGAACGGACCTTGTGCGGTGCGGGCGATGTTGGCGACATTACCACGATACTGAGATTCGTCCGTCTCGCCAAAGTTGAGATGCAACTACCAGGTAATGGGCCGACAGTTTTCATGCAAGAGCGCGAAACATTCGAGGAAAATCATCTCGAGAAAAACGATCACAAGCAATCCGATCCGACCCAACCAGATCCGATCAGAGCCGATCAAATTCGATTGGGCCCACGTCCTGACTATCCAAAAAACTAACACCATCCTTCCCCATGGTGGTCCCAAGCGTCCGTCATGTGTAATACAATTGATGCCCAACCAGTGCACGCGAATTTGCCTGGCGCCGGATGGGAACGCTGCACCCGAGGTTGTTTCCCCAGCCTGTTGCTCCCACGTTATAAGCGCGTCGCGTGGTTATCAACCAATAGTAACGAACAGACCGAGGTCAAGAAGACGAGACTGAAGTCAAATAAGGTAACAGATCTTGTTTATAAGCACCTGCGAATACTTTTTGCTAGCTGCGAATTGACGAAACTTATGCGAAAAACTTGTTACAGCTTATACGCCCCCTTCACAAGGCAACCGGGAGGGGCTCAAACAGGCATCAATTGTACACTGTACTGTAATTCAAGGACCGATTTCGTCACAGGCCATTGTGGTGCGAAATCTTGTTTCTGCAGAGCAGATGATGAATGCAAGCTCGCAGTCTGAGTTCCATCGACCAATTCGTTTGACCTTGTTTCTGTTGTTGAAGACTCATCGCAGTGTTGAGCTTGGTTCCATGTCACCTGTCACGGTATGGCGACGACGTGATGGATTGCACGGGGATGCCGGCTTCCATCGGCCGTCGGGACAGGTTTCGAACCCTAAGCGGAGACAGTTCCGTCTTTACAGACACCATTCCGGAGGAAACGGCGAATTCCGACACCTTAGCTTACGAAGTAAATCGAACGGCGTCTTCTAACGAGGATATCAAAGTGGAGGAGGACTGCGAGGACTCGTTATTACTTCCGGGGCGCGATGAGGCTCACGAGGAGGGTGGTTGCTGCCCCTCGCTGACCTCCAGCGGCTTAAAGCCACAGCAGAAACGCCGGCTACTACTACCCACAGAACATCCAAAAAAATCTGCCTTCGAGCCCTCTAGTAGTAGTGCCGCCGCGTCCGGCCCGTGTAATGTGTCAACCACGCCGACACGGGCAGCAGATTCGGGCGAGGGTTACTTTTCGTCCGCTCTCGCCACGTCCCCAAGTCGTGACTCTAACGCGGCACCGACATTCCATGGAGCTGCATTGTCGTGCTTCAGCGTCATTGGGAATGGCGCACGCGGAACGGCCGAGGAAAAGGATAGTTGGGGGAACGAGGCGGAGGCGGCGAGAGAAGTAAGAGCGGAAGACGCAGGGGAGAGTGAGAGGGACGACAGGAGTGAATGTATTTCGGAAGATGATGAGGAGTATCATGCATCTGATCATGATGGGGCCCATGCGAGTGATGAAGGGGGGCATGCGAGTGATGATGGGGGGCATGCGAGTGATGAAGGGGGGCATGCGAGTGATGATTGGGGCAATGCGAGTGAAGATGGGGGGGGCAATGCGAGTGAAGATGGGGGCAATGCGAGTGAAGATGGACGGGGGTATGAGTTCGGCCCTGAGGAGGAGGAGGCAGAGAGAGCTATGCTCGAGGAAGCGGAGAAGGCTACTATGCAGGAGCGATGTATGGCGGGAGTCGCGGAGGAGGCGGCGAAAGGGCGGCAGTCGTGGCTGTGGAGTGTTTTGTGGTTCGTGTCGTGGCCGCTCAGACGAATCAGCCACGTGTGGCGCAAGGTACGCCGTGAATAGTACCACGTCACTAGCATGTGTGTGCATCACTGCGTGTCTGTGTGTGTGCATCTGTGTGTGTGTATGTGTGTGTGTGTGTGTGTGTGTGTGTGTGTGTGTGTGTGTGTGAGTGTGTGTGCGTGTGCGTGTGCGTGCGTGCGCGTGTGTGTGTGTGCGTGCGTTTGTGTGTGTGCGCGCGCGCGCACGCGGGTGCGCGCATGTGTGTTTGTGTGTGTGCGTGCGTGCGTGCGTGCATGCGTGCGTGCGTGCGTGCGTGCGTGCGTGAGTGTGTGTTTGTGCGTGCGTGGGTGTGTGTTTGTGCGTGCGTGAGTGTGTGTTTGTGCGTGCGTGCGGGTGCGTTTGTGCGTGTGTGTTTGTGCGTGCGTGCATGCGTGTGTGTTTGTGCGTGTGTGTTTGTGCGTGCGTGCGGGCGCGTGCGTGCGCGTGTGTTTGTGCGTGCGTGTTTGTGCGTGCGTGCGTGCGTGTTTGTGCGTGCGTGTTTGTGCGTGCGTTCGTTCGTGCGTGTTTGTGCGTGCGTTCGTGCGTGCGTGTTTGTGTGTGCGTGTTTGTGCGTGCGTTCGTGCGTGCGTGTTTGTGCGTGCGTGTTTGTGCGTGCGTTCGTGCGTGCGTGTTTGTGCGTGCGTTCGTGCGTGCGTGCGTGTTTGTGCTGGCCGAGGGTCGACTCAGCCACCCGTGGCTCAGGGCATGCTGTGAATGCTGCGACTGGGACACTGCTGTGCGTGTATTGTGAGTGTGAAAAAATATTCTAAAAGGTTCTGTGACCTCTCAATTGGCTGTGGCCTTGGTTCTGGTGGTGAGAGCTGCTAGACATGCAGAGTAACATAAAACTTGCTTCTCATCTTCCCCCTGCCGTCACACACACCCCCTCCCCCTCTTCCAATCCCCCCAACCCCTCCTTCCTTCCTTCCAGCGTCTGCTATGGGTGTGGGCGCTGGTGGTGGCAGCGGCTAACCTGTTTCCTCACCGTCCCTCCCGTGCTCGCACCCTCCCCTGTACCCTCCTCGCTCCTCTCCCTCCTCCCATTTCAGCATCTGCTGTGGGTGTGGGTGCTGATGGCAGGGTCTATCCTGTCACTGGTATCTGCGACGGCAGGCAGCACTCCCCGCAGTAACTTGCTTCTCAGCTTTGGCCCCCCTGTCGTCACACCCCTCCCCCCATCCTCCCTGTCCCGGTTTCAGCGTCTGCTGTGGGAGCGGGTGCTGATGGCAGCCGCTATCCTGTTGCTGCTGTTTGCAGCGTCATGGCGACCGGCCGAGGCAGGCGAGACGGAGGGACGACCCCCAGAGCCATGTGCGTCTATGCTTCCCCTCCCCACCACTCCGCTGCCTCCCTCCCCCACCCCGGCCATCCCCTTCTCAGCGTCTGCTGTGGGGGTGGGTGGTGATGGCAGGGGCGATCCTACTGATGGTGTTTGCGGCGGCGTGGCGGCAGGCCAAGGCAGGCGAGAGGGAGGACCTAGAGGGGCACTGCGATGAGTGGGCCTCCTTTATCGAGGCCAAGTTCAACACCACTGCCGCCAACACACGCGCTGTCTCCGATTTTATGCGCGCCTATTACTTTGATAAGTACGGGCAGAACCGCCGCCGGATTGCTTGTGCTGCTTCTCCCAGTGCTGCAAGGGGCTTGATGCGCCTCCCTCCAAAGCAAGGTACTGCGATGCAAGTCACTTTTGACATTACTCAAAAGTGACTGCAGTCCAATTGGCTTGGTTGGCTTGATGCGTTTCTTCTCCCAGTGCTGCGAGTGGCTTGATACACCACGCCACTAATGCTCTGTGAGGGGAGGAGAGGACGAGTACCAACTGGCCGGCCGGCGTTCATTGAGTCCAAGCTCAGCACCACAGTTCGTTTTTTAATCGACTCAAAAACAGACTCCCCAGCACCACAGGTCTTGAAGCGCGGCAACTTCTGAGCCATTGAGGCCAAGGTCAGCACCGCCGCTGCCGACCGACGCTCTGTCCGCGTTTTTTTATGCCCCTAATACCTTAACTCGATAAGTATGGCCGTCCGCAGCCCACGGCCGTGCTTTTCCATTTCCTCTCCGGGTGGGAAGTGCGTTCTTCGGTTGTCCGATGGCTGGCAATGTGGGAATGAAGGATTCGTTTTGTTCACACTTGGCGTGGGTCGTCTCTAAAGCCCACCGTAAAACCCACTATCTTGTGTTTTCCTTTTTTTTTTTTTTACTGTTTTTTTTTTTTTGTTTTTTTTGTTTTTTTTTTTTTTGGTTTTGCATAAATAACTTCAGGCCAAGTCACCCAACCTCCCTCCTCTCTCCGCATCCTGTTACTCCCTCCCTGCTATCCCTTCCCCTCTACCTTCGTCTTTGCTCTTTCCCCTTCCCGTCTGCCCTCTTCCCTCTCCCATTCCCCTCCTGCCAACTTTCCCCATTCCCCGCACCAAGCCCACCCCTATCACCTCCGCCGCTCCTTCCCCGGGGCAAGCAGGTTGAAGGAGGACTCTTGTGACTCGGCAAGATTCCAGCACTTCCCTCCACGGGCAAGCAGCGAGAAAGGAGAACTTTCGTGACTTGGCAAGATTCCAGGGGTTCACCCAGCCAGGCTACTCTGCTGTTGACAGTTGAGGTGGCCTGAATATCTATTCGCGTCTTCCCACCTCCCCACCCCGGCCCCGGGCAAGCAGCGAGAGGGAGGACTTTCTTGACGTGAAGAAATTCCAGCAGTTCACTCAGGCTACTCTTGATAGTCGACCCATGGCGTCGTGTGAGTTGCGTGTAATTTGAACCCATGGCCTCATGTGAGTTGCATGTGAAACCATGGCATCATGTGAGTAAGATGTGATTTGAACTCATGGCCTCATGTGAGCTGCATGTGGTTTGAATCCCCTCCCCCCGTTCCCAACCCCCCCACTCCTCCCCCGCCCTCCTCCTCTACTTTCCCCCACCGTTTTCACCCTTATCCCACCCACCCACCCACCCACCCACCCACTCTGCTGCCTGCAGTCGTGGCCTTCACTCTCCTCATCAACAGCTCGTTTATCTGCGACAGAATCAAGAGGACTTCAGGGGGCTGCTTCTATGCTCTCTTTTGACGTGACAGCTACCGTTATGTTTCCCCTTGCGTGCAGTCGTGGCCTTCACTCTCCTCATCAACAACTCGTTTATCCGCAAAAGAATCGAGAAGACCTTCGGGGGCTGCTTCTTTGACTTTGCGCCCAACGGCACCATGACCTGCCGCCCGCGTGGCCTGCCCCTGTACGCGCCACTGATCGTCTTCAACAGACGCAAGGACTACATTCCTCGCCTGAGACCATCCGATGGCTGCTGCTATGACATGATGGCAGGTGACATGGGCAACGGACCGAGTCGAGTAAAACTCGACTCGGTCTGGGCCAAAACTCGACCGGGTTCGAGCTCGAGTTGGGTGAAACCCGGTCGAGTTTTTTTGCCAAGGTTCGGGACTCGAGACTCGACTGTATAAGGGCGAGTTTTGAAAACCTCGACCGGCGCTATTCCACACTCGGTTGAGTCCTAGTTAAACTCGGCTCGGCCGGGGGGGTGGGGGGTGGCGGAAGAGGGACACACCATAGAAAAGTGAGACCTGAGGCTTTTGTGCATGGCTTTTGTTGTATACCCTATATTATTGTATGCCTGCGGCGCTGCGTAGCCGTCTCCACCTGGTCTATCCCCCCCCCCCCCCCCCCCCCCCCTCCCGCATGATCGCCACGGTGGGTTCCTCCCGCCCCCCCTTTCCCGCCGTTTGTGTGTTTACTTGTCAGCTGCTTAGATTTCGCCATGCTAAATCAGTAGATGGACTGTTCAATTATTAAATAGTAGCCTTTCCTCCTCCTCAAACCCTAATCCAAACCAACCATACAATAAAACCGCGACCCTAACTAAGGTTAAACCTAGATCTACGTTGCCCCTGAAGCGGTCTTAAGTTTAAGAAGAAAAAATAGCCGGGCGTTTGGCTGGTTTGGCTCTGAAAACTACAGACGACATGTTGAGGAAGGTGACTGAAATCGAGATCTGAAAATGGACCCGCAAAACTTCAATTTTCGAAATTTGTATGCCCACCCCAATGTCGCGACGAGTTTTTCGTAAACTCGTCGAGCCCCGAAAACTCGACGAGTCTGGAAAAAAACTTGACATGGGGCCCGAGCTTAGACCGAGTTTCTTAAAAACTCGGCGGGTAAAACTCGACTCGGCCCGGTCGAGTTTTTTCAACGGGTCCTCGCACTCGACACTCGACCAGTAACGGGTCCCCCGATCGAGTCGAGCTTGGAAACTCGACTCTTGCCCATGTCTAGCACGGAGGACGCTGCGTCCTGCGTCTGGACGCAGCGTCTGGACGCTCGGACGCAGGACGCGCGTCCAGACGCAGGACGCACATCGATTTTTTTTCGGGCTGCCTTGAAAAAAAAATCCCGATCGCGAAATTCACATTCGCGATTTCGACATTCGACCCCCCCTTGCCCAAATCGACATTCTATAACAGCACCCCAACATTTCAGAACCTTTCATGGAAAGTTGAATTTCTCAAACCTCTCAACCATTTCACATCTAGAAAACCCAACCTTGCCCACCACCAAGCCCATTTAGCAATGCAACCAAGTCATTTGTGGTTTCTCATTTTACCCACCCACCCAATTCTCTTTTGAAAACCCTAGAGGTTATAGCTTACTAGCTTAACTCCGTTATGACTTCTTCAAGCAATAACAAGTGTGGAAGTGTGGAACGTTCTCCCCCCCCCTCTTCCCATGCCTTATAACAAAAAAAATTGCCTGCCCGGGGAGTTTTTTTGCCTGCCCGGGGAGTTTTTTTGCCCTGCCCGGGATTGCGTCTTTTGGTGCGTCTTTCTGGTCCTGGTGCTGCGTCCTGCGTCTGGACGCGTCCAGGACGCAGGACACGTCTTTCGCATCATAGCGTCTTTCGTACCCCCATTTCCCCCTCCTCTCATTCACACATCCTTCTTCCCCCTGGCACATCCCACGCCCCTCTCAGACCCAAGGTTGAGCGACACAGTACACTGGCCCATGAATCAGCTTCCCCTCTCGTCTCTGTCAATCCAAAAGCCACCTTCGCCACCTCCTCATAAACCCCCCCCCCCCAAAAAAAAACCTTCCTACCCACGTCCGTCTGTATTGCCTCCCACCTTCGCCCTGCCCCCCTCGCTCTCCCCTCCTTCCGTCGCCATCCCTCCGCTCGCAACCCCCGGGGTGCTCCCACGGGGGTTCGTCATCGCGGGGTATAACTTTGCAAACCTGCGATCATTGGCGGGGTTTAAGCAGCTGGAGGAGTTGAAGACGAGGGTTTACCTGGTGGATGGTACCAGGGGAGGGGCTTGGGATGTTGCACACAATGGGGATGGGCAGAATATGGATGCAACGGCCAGTAGGTGGCTACCTGCGTTGCTATTTGACCATGAGGGGTTGGTGGGCGAGGAGGAGATTAATGTATGGATGACAAAGGAGAAGGAGGGGACGAAAGTGCGACAGACGCTGCATTTGGGTGATCCGGCGAGAAGCGTCTATCTTTACTGCCAGTGAGTTGATTGTTGATGTGTGCATGCATGCGTGTGAATATGCATGCATACGTATAAAGATGCATGCTACGTATAAAGATGCATGCTTGCGTTCAAGTTCAGTACCTGTTCATCCTATATTCGTACACACTTGCATAAAAATGCGTATTACATCCATGCATCCGTCAACGTATTCTTGAGACGTGCATAATCATGTACATGCAGACAGAAATGCATGCCTGGATGCACGCATACGTATATGTGCGGGCACGCGCGCACGCACGCACGCACACACTCACGCACTTACACCGTGCATACGCGCGCACGCAAACTCACAAGCACGCATGCACACGCACGGGCACATGCACCCATACCAGTGCGCGGGCACGCACGCACGCACAGACACACAAGCACACAGACTCGCGCGCACGTTCATGCACACGCGCGCTCACACACACACACGCACGCAAGTGCATACGTGCACGCATGGATACACACACACACATGCACACGTGCACACTGCACACAAGCACACATGCAAACAAGCACACATGCACACAAGCACACATGCAAACAAGCACACATGCACACAAGCACACATGCAAACAAGCACACACACATTTATGCATCTAGGCAGACGTACATGAATGCATGCGTACCTACTTATTTACATGTGTACCTATGCCAAAGAAGGTAACACTGAAGCAATTCTTGCTTTTCAGACACCGTGACATCGTACCAATTTCCTTGCCCCCGGAATCTGATCCTCTGCAACCTCCCTTCTTGCCTTTCGCCTCCCTCATGCCCCCCTCCCCTCCCTTCCCCTTCCCCTGCGCTCCCCGCTTCCCGGCGACCTCGACCCCACCAAAGACACATCTCATACTCCCCGCCGTTCAGCCCGTTCGTCTGGATAGTGGTGCTGGTGCCCTTCATGGCCGTCTCCACCTTCCTCCTCTGGACGAGCATCCAGCTCATGCACGCCTTTGAGTGCGACTGCCAGCACCTGGCGACGGCGCAGCAGGAGCTCCACGCCGCGCGAATGGAAGCGGAGGCGGCGAGCCGTGCCAAAGGAGATTTCCTCACGACGGTGTCGCACGAGATTCGCACGCCCATGAACGGTGTCATTGGTACGTTGTGGGCCTGTACTAGTTGCTTGCCTCAAACATGGTCCTATCACTCATACGTGAGCCGCGCCAAGGGACCGTGTTGCACAAAATCCGCATTTCCATGAACAACGACGTTTGTAACGCGCTCTCAAAACTTTGATAAGGTTGATCAAGTTGTGCCTATTTACTTCTCCCAATCAACTCCTCCAGTGGCTTGAGGGACCGTAAAAATCGTCCTCTTGACTTTATTGTTGGGTGCAAATCGTCCTCGTCAACGAGGCGCATTTTTTTTTCTATTACGTCCCGCCTACGAGGCTGCATTACGTCCCGCATTTTTTTTTTCTATTTTGTGAGCATTTTTTTTTTTTCCGTATTTTGTTTCATCTGCTTTTGTTGTGGGCCCATGACCAGTCATGATGGATCATGTTGAGTCATGAACGATGATGGAAGCTCATGTAATGTCATGAATTTTCATGAACGTCCATGATGTTTTATGAAAGTTGAGTTCTCATGAGTTTTCATCAGTCCTCATGTTAGGCCCAGGTGTCCATGAAGGTAAAGTGGTGGGGGCTCATTACCTTTGGGGGCCCTTGTGCTTTTCGTGCCAGTCAAGCTAAAAGCGTGCAAAAATCAGGACGTGTGTGTGAGGTCCTGGTCTTGCGTGTGGCCCAACAGGGCCCACGCAAGTGTCGCGCACTGTTGCGACCACTCTCAGTGCGCACGATCGCAACAGGACAGGGTGTCATTATCGCCATGTCTCGTGCAGGTTAACGCACAATCGCGCCGGCAATCGTCGTGTGCCCGGGATTTGGGCTGGAAAAAACGAATTCCACGCTGACTTGGCGAGAAGGATATTCCGCCTGAAAGATGTGCTGGCTTAGGGAAATGTACCTTTTTGTTATGAGTACAAAATGGTGAATTCTGTTTGTTAACGGTAAAGTCAGTTTTACTTAAAAAAACGGGAATCTCACACGAGTGGCATGACTCTACACGAAAATTCATTATCGTTCATGAGAGGAGTGAAGGGCAGACATGCAGACTGAAGTTTTTTTTTTTTTCTTTTAAGTTGGTGAAACACGCCAAATGCAACAGAAGTTTGACAAATGTTTTTTTACGACAGCATGGCGAATAGGCTTGAGCAAGAGGCGAACACGAACGTGTTCGCGTTCGCCCCTGCACGAACCCCGCCGCTCGGCGAATCGAACACTGTTCGGTTCGCCAAACACCTTTAACAAAAAAAAGTGTTCGCCGTTTGCCTGTGAAGGCGAACACCTTGGTGTCGGAGGCGAACACGTTCGTGTTTACTTTTGAGCATCCTTTGTTACGCTCGAAATACGCAACAGCGGGCAGGGGAATCGCGGGATACTAGGGGGAAAAATCTAGGCTGGATCTGGCTTTTGCGAGATCTAGTTAGGGATCAATACTTTTTTTTAATCTAGCTCGCCACCTGGATTCCCCCCCCCACGTAAGGCGAAATGCTCTCCCCCCTCGAAAACTACAAAGTTTGTAATTGCTCGCCACCCCCCCACAACCCCCCAACCTAAGCAATATGCGAATGCTTTCCCCAACCCCATGCATACGAAATTTGCGAATGTTTGCCCCCAACCCCCAACTTACGAGATTTTGCGGTATCTCTGTCTAATCCTTTCTCGACAACCTAAATCCTACCTACCCAAGTCTAGTCAGACTAACCTAAGGTAACTATTTAATCACGCTAAGTCCTAATGAGGTGATAATGGCGTGATGTGTGGGGGGCGTGGTAGTAATGGCTGCTGCTGAATAGCGTGACTAAGTTTGAGCTCAATCAGAATGTCAGGCAACCTAAATTGTAGATCTCAGGACAGTCGCGACAAACACATTCGTGTTCGTTTTGGGGAAAAAACGAACACGAACATGTTCGTCGCGGCACGGGCTTCCGCGATGAGCCAAACACGAACATGTTCGGGCGAACACCGAACACGTTCGCCACGAACAATTTAAGCCAAAAAAAAAACCGAACAGGTGTTCGTCTGCTTGCTCAAGCCTAATGGCGAAGTTATGGCGAAGTTGTGTTTCCATAATGTGTGCTTGTATCTTTTTTACACAACAATGCTTTCGCGCTTTCACGCCAGAATTCTACTTCTACGTATTGACGAGAGTAGAAACGTTACTTGGTGTTGCCGAAACGTTGATCAACCAGTTCCTCACACTACAAGCTAAGCCAAGCTTTGCTTGTTCCTTTGCACTTTCACACCATTGGCTAGGAGATGACATGTTATCACACTCGGAGGGTCTCAAGTGGAGTATGCATAGCTAGGCCTAGATAGTTCTGTTTTGTAATCGCTTCCGCATAGTGTTTAACACTCGACATATTCGTCTCGTTGTCTTCGTGTCTTGATCACCTCCTCCTTTAATTTCACCTTTCTTGCACCCTCACATCATGATGACATCTAAGCATGCTGAACCTGCTGCTGGAGTCCCGTCTGGACGATCTGACTCTCGTATGTCCCTTTTGCTCCCCCCACATCATTCTTCCCACCAGGCATGCTGAACCTGCTCCTCGAAACACCGTTGGACGACATGCAGCAGGACTACGCGAAGACGGCATGCAGCAGCGGGCGGGCACTGTGTGCGCTGATCAACGACATTCTCGACCTCTCCAAGATTGAGGCCGAGAAGCTCCGCCTCGAGCGCATCCCCCTCAACCTGCGCGCCGAGCTCGACGACGTGCTCGCGCTCTTCGTGGAGAGCGCCCAGGAGAAGCGATCCGTTGAGCTCGCCGCGTTCGTGGCGGACGATGTGCCGGAAACACTCCTTGGGGATCCGCTTCGAGTGAAGCAGGTGTGTGTAGTGCTAGAAATAGGCATAAGCAAGTGCTGAGCTCGCGGTTGGGTTGTACAGGTTAGCACTTGCTTGCCCATTGGTCAAACCACCGGTTCGGGTTCGGGTCTGTAGAAATTGAATCGGTGAAATTTAGGGCACAATGGGAAGAGGAAACTGTCCTTATCAATTTTAGTAGAGTGGTGATGCCATATATATTTTTAGGCTACATGCAACTTCTCAAAGTTGAGGAAAATGCTAACCAACTTTAGAAGTGAGATGTCATGTGGCACATGTGGGCAAAGCTAGAACAACAGCATACATAGCAGCACATGATACATCATACGGGCCGGCAAGGTGTGCATGGGATGATGGGATTGGTTGACAGGTGGCAATGCTAACTGTGACCACACTTCACTGTGGCTGAGTGTGCTGGACTATGGACATGTCATGATGAGCATAATATGAGAGGAGAAAGTGCAAATGCAAGGAGTTCAACCCTCAACCTCTATGACTAGAGGTGAGGAACCACCCCTCAGGACATACTTAGCGTACAACATCGTTGCATCGAAATAGGAGGGGTCAAGGTTCCAGGTTCGGCCGAGAACATATCACAACCCCTCACCGACGAGAGCCAGCATGCGACGAACGAGCCTCGGCTGCCTCTCCAGGGTCTTGCAAGCACGCCCCCTTCCATCTCAGCTCGGACCCCCTTCCATCTCAGCTCGCACCTCGCTTCTTTGCCCTTTCTCCGCTACGCCCTATCCCTACCCATTTTTAGTTTGCCGCTGTGTTAGGCGTGCAAGAGCAATTTCAACTCTGTCATACTTAGCACGGATACCGAAGCACTCATTGCACTCAATCACTCGTGGCTCTCATAGCGCTTTCCCTTGCTCACCGTACGTGTGCGTGCGTGCATGCATGCCTGTGTGCATGCCTGTGTGCATGCCTGTGTGCATGCCTGTGTGCATGCCTGTGTGCAGTGCATGCCTGTGTGCACGTCTGTGTGGTTTTTTCCTGCCCCCATCTGATTCTCATCAACCTCATCGACAACGCCTTGAAGTTCACCACCAACGCCTCTGCATTCATCAATGCCCCTTCCCCTCCCCTCCCCTCCCCCCTCCTCCTGCCTCCAACAGATTCTCATCAACCTCGTCCGCAACGCCCTCAAGTTCACCACCAAGGGCCATGTCTTCATCGCCGTGCGCCTCGCAACCCCCACCGCCACCACTAACAACAACGATGATGGCGGTGCTCCCCTGTCACTGCTCTCAGCTGCCTCCTCCAAGTCCCCCTTGTCGTCATCATCAACACCATCACCATCATTCCACTCAAAAGACTCGCCTCCCAGGCACCGTTTTCTTGCCAGTTGCTTCACCAGGGCAAACAGCCATAGGGAGGGGAAGAAGATTACAGCTGAGGGGGATGGAGCCACTGATGCTGTAGATGGGAGGAGAGGTGCTGTTGGGGTGGATGGGATGAGAGATACTGCTGGTGGCGACGATGGCACTCGTGACGACAATGACTCCAGTGGTGATGGGAGCACTGGTGGCAGTAGCAGGCCTGTTGAGCGTGCTTCCACTGACACTGGGTGTGTGACGCTGAGTGGCCGGCCGGCCATGAAGACATGGTGCTCGTGGGAGGGCATGCGGGAGCACATGGACCTTGGTGCCGTCGGCATGGGCATGGGCATGGGCATGGGCATGGGCAAGGGCATGGGCAAGGGCATGGCGAATGATGCCTGCCGTGGACGCCACAGCCCTTGCATCCTGCCCCCTGACCAGCCCGTGCGCCTGATGGTGGCTGTGGAAGACACAGGTACAACGATTGCATCTCATTATGTTGTGCAAAAGTTGATCATGTTGTGCGTTGATCATGTTGTGAGACCGTTGATCATGTTGTGAGACCGTTGATCATGTTGTGAGACCGTTCATTATGTTGTGAGATATGTCACAATGCACGTCTCCAAGCGTTCACGTGCTCTCAACCTGCCCCAGCAAACGATTCTAGTCCTGTTCCTCACCAATTCCGTTCCTACGCTCGTTCTTCCTGCAGGTACCGGCATCCCGCGCCACGCTCGGAGGCACATCTTCCGGCCGTACACACAGGCAGAGCGCAGCACGGCACGGCTGCATGGAGGCACGGGCATCGGCCTCTCCATCTGCAAGGTGGGTTGTGTTGTTGGAGCACCCTGCGGTGCTATCCTTCTATTCCCTGCCTCTATCTTTCCATTTCCCCACTCAAATTCCCTCCACCAACCCCTCCCTTGCCCTTCCCCACTCCCCCATGTGAGCAGCGCCTGGTGTCGATGATGGGAGGATCCATCTCGTTTGTCTCAAAGCCAGGCGTCGGCACCACCTTCCTCTTCGATATCCTCCTCCACACACTCCCTCTCCCTCACCCTCCTGCCTCGCCTCCTCATCCTTCCCAACCCCACACTCCTCCCCAAACCAACACTTCTCCTCATGCCCCTGCCGTTCCTCCCTCTCTCTCCCTCCTTCACTCCCTGCTTACTGCATCTCCAACCTCTTCGCCACCGCCCGCCAATCCCTCTGCCACACACACTCCCACTCCCTCTGCCCGTGCATGCATCCCCTCTCCTCTTCCTCGAAGCTCCTGCCACGTGGCCCCCCAAGACACAGGCAACCAGCAGCAACAGCAGGGGGCAGCATGTGGGTTAGAGGGTGTGTGTGTGGGGAGTGGTGGGAGGGTGGTGGGTGCACTAGAGGGCGTTCTTGTGGTGAGTGTGGACGACCGGCCGGTGCGGCATGCCGTCACTCTCTCTCTGCTGCGCCGCCTTGGCATCTGCACCCTCCCCTGCCCCTCCTTCCACCTCCTCCCCCGCCTCCTCGCCCAACACCGCTCCTTGCACCATGGGTCATCAAGTCATCCCACGCACCATGCGGAGCAAGAGCAGGAGGATGGGAAGGAGGAGGAGCAGGAGGATGGGAAGGAGGAGGATCGGGAGGAGGGGAAGGAGGAGGAGCGGGAGGAGGGGAAGGAGGAGGAGCGGGAGGAGGGGAAGGAGCAGGAGGAGGAGCAGGAACAGGAGGAGGGGAAGGAGCAGGAGGAGGAGCAGGAACAGGAGGAGGGGAAGGAGCAGGAGGAGGAGCAGGAACAGGAGGAGGGGAAGGAGCAGGAGGAGGAGCAGGAACAGGAGGAGGGGAAGGAGGAGGAGGAGCAGGAACAGGAGGAGGGGAAGGAGCAGGAGGAGGAGCAGGAACAGGAGGAGGGGAAGGAGCAGGAGGAGGAGCAGGAACAGGAGGAGGGGAAGGAGCAGGAGCATCACAAGGCTGCACGAACCTCTCAGCCCGCGCCTGCTGCTTCATCTCTCTCGCACCTCCTTCCCCTGCAGCACTCTCCTCGTCGCTCAACCACCCAGCCCCCTCGTGCTCCACACACTGACTCCCTCACAGCGCAATCAGCACCCAAGGCACAACCCAACATCCACTCATGTCCTCCTCCTGAGCCTCCCCTCGAGCTTCCTCCCGAGCCTCCCCTCGAGCCTCCTCCCGAGCCTCCCCTTGAGCCTCCTCCCGAGACTCCTCTTGAGCTGTCACTCGAGCCGCTGAATCATCCTCTGGAGCCGTTTGGCTCGCCGGCAGTTCTTGTGGCTCCTTTCGCCTTCTGCCCTTCGGCCTCCACCCCCTCTGCCTCCTCCGCCCCCTTCTCCGTTTTCTCTCCCTCTCCCCTTTCCCGCCAGTTCTCCTGCCCTCCTCTTTCCATCAGTGTCTTCCCTTCGAGCAAGAATGACATGGGTGGAAGGGCGGAGAAGCAAGAGGAAGAGGGAGTGGAGAAAAGGAGAGGGGAGGAGGAACGAGAAGAGGAGGAGGAAGGAGAAAGAGAGGAGGGACTGGCGGGATTGCAGCAGCGGGTGCACTACAGGAGCTTGAGCAAAGCAGAGAGGCGGGGATGGGTGGGGGCGGTGGTGGTTGAGGGGGAGATGATGCAGCGGCTGGGCGTCACAGCAGATCAAATCCATTCGCTCTTGATGGGCCAGGAGGGACTAGGGATGGCAGGGTCTGGCGAGCAGTTGAGCGAGCGAGGGCATTTGAGTGCAGAGAACGTGGGTAAGAGTGAGCAAACGAGCAAGGGAGGACACATGAGTGGGAGCAGGGATGAAGGGGCGGAGGAGATGACAAGAGAGGGATTGAGCGGGTGTGCAGTGGAGGAGAAGGCACAAGGCAGCGACCCTAAACCCTGGCCCGTTCCCTTCCTTGTGCTCCTGCACGGCTCTCTCCCCCTCTCACAAAGCTCTCTTGCCGGAGGCCTTCCCACGGCCGACAGCTTCAGCCCTTACGAGAGGGATGCTTATAAAGGGGACAAGGTTCTCCATGAACAGGATCCGGACTGTCACAGGGAAGTTGGCTGTGAGTTGCCATGCAGTTGGAGGGGCCGGACCGGAGAGCAGAGCAGGGACAGGAGTGAGAGCGGGAGCAGGAACAGGAATGGGAGAAACAGCTGTAAGAGCAAAAAGAGAGCCGTAGCTGCTGAAAGAGTGGACATGAAAGCTGTGGGGAATTATTGTGAGTGTAAGCCGGGTGACTGTAACGATGTGACGAAGGGCTGCGGAGGCAGCAACAGCAGGAGCAGGTCGCCTGCGCCCTCCCTCTCGCCCTCCCCGTCCATCCCCTCACTTTTGTCACTTGGCTTTGACGCTGTCGTGAGGAAGCCTCTTCATAGACCGGCAGTGCTGGCGGCGCTTCTGCCGCTGTTCCCTGTGGGCCCGGAGCAAGGTGAGTGCAGGCACGGAGATGGAGGAGGAGACAGAGGAGGAAAGGACGAAGGACCGGGAGCACAGGGAGGGTTGAGGGGGCGAGACGAGGGTCATGCTGTGGAAACGAGTGTGTTAGTGAGATTCGGCCAAGATCCTTCCCACCACCACCACCAGCTGCACCACCAGCAGCAACAGCAGCAACAGGTCTCAAAGAATACCCCACTCGTATGCCACCGTCCTGACAGTATAGACTGGAGTGACAGTATCAATCGACAGGGGCAGAGGCAGAGGCAGGGGCAGTGGGGTGGTGAGGCATTGGAGGCATTGGAGCTAGTGAGTCCTCAGGAGGTGAAGGGGCAGTGGGGGGGTGGTGGTGTGGTGCTGAGCCCGTCTGCCCTCCACAAGGCTGGCAGCAGCGCTGCAGCGGCCCTCTGGCGAGCTGTGACGTCCCCCCGGGCACTCATGTCCCCTCAGTCCTTCACGTCCCCTCAGTCGCTCAGCTCCCCTCACTTGTTTAAGTTGCGCCCCTCTCAGTCTCCCAACACTCCTGCCAGTCCCACCACTCCCACCTCTCCCACCACTCCCACCACTCCCAACACTATCACCACCCCCGCTTCTGACGCGGCCAAATCCAAGGCTGCTAGCCCCGTGGCGGCGCAAAACACGTCACCCTATGCCAACAGTGGCCATGCTGCCTCTCTACCGGGAAAAGGGCTGATGGTGTGTGAGGAGGATGCATCACTTGGGCGGCAGCAGCAGCAGCAGCAGCAGCAGGGCGTGGATGGCAGCAGTGTCTCGTTGGCCAGCCGATCTGCTTCCCTCGAACACCTGATCGAACCGTTTGCACCTCCTGCTGCTGCTGCTGCTGCTGTGTCGGAGGGCTTGCCATCGGTTGCTGCTACTTTTACAGGCTTGACATCAGGTGGCGATGGCGGATCAGCAGGTGGAGGTGGTAATTTGACAGGAGATAGGGGTCTTGGGAAAGGCACCAGTGCTGGGGAAGCAGCAGATTCGGGTGGAATGAGGGCACGGGTGCACGGCTCAGCAGGTGAAAGGAGAGCAGCTGGGCGGTCCCATGCAAGACAGAGAGATAAGAGGCATAGCACGGGCGCCAGTGGTGCTGGTGGTGAGGATGGTGCAGCTGCTGCTGCTGCTGCTGCTGCTGCTGCTGCTGCTGCTGCTGCTGCTGCTGCTGCTGGTGCTGGTGCTGGTGGCAGAGTGAGTGGTTTTGAGAGTGTGCTGGACTTTGCAGGGTTCTCTCCCACCACGTCGTGTTCCTCGCTTGGGACTCTATCCCCTGCCCTTACACGCACACCATCGCTATCACTCTCACCAACCTCGGCAGCACCGCCAGCAGCACCGCCAGCCGCAGCAGCAGTGGCAGCAGCAGCAGCAACAGGGGAGCCAGCAACAGTGGCGGAGGGGCTAGCAGTTCTGGCGGGGAGGAGGGTGATGGTGGTGGATGACAATGTGATCAACCGCAAAGTGGCCAGCAAGCTGCTGGAGAGGCACGGCGCGCGAGTCACCGCCGTGGATGGCGGCGCCAAGGCCCTTCAAGCCCTCGCCCCGCCCCACCCCTACGACCTGGTTTTCATGGACCTCCAGGTGAGACCAGGGATGCTGAGAGAATCATCAAGTGGCCTTTCAGGTTAGAGGAGGGCCATGAGGCACACACGTCACCCCTTCAGGTGGGAAGATGTGCGGGAGGTGGGGAGATGGGCTTTAAGGTGGGTCAACCACCCCTTCCACCTCATCCTCATGGATTAGCATCACGGCCCACGTGACCTAGGATTCAGGGATGGCAGCATCAACGCCTCCCATCCCTCCCATCCCTCCCTCCCAGATGCCGGGCATGGATGGGCTGGAGGCGACTCGCAGGATCCGAGCGCGGGAGAGGGCTCAGGGCGGGGGGCATGTGGCCATCATTGCGCTCACAGCGGATGTGATTGCCGGCACGCGCCACCACTGCTTTGCCGTCGGCATGGATGACTACCTCTCCAAACCCCTCGAGGAGGCGCAACTCTCCCGCGCCGTCTGTCGCCGCCTCGCCAATTTATAATGATTAATATGCGAGAGCAGTTGTACGTCTAGAATCCGGAAAATGAAACGCTTCATAGTTGTAGTTCATTACATACTGACCAATGTTAATGTGCTACAGTGTTCAAATGAATGTCATTCTCACTTGCTTTGCTTTGCTATGCCCTCAGCTTGTAAATGCCCTTAGTATCCAATACACACAAACCGCTGTTGCTGTAACGAGGTTGACATTTGTCTCCGTGTTTGGTTCCTGCAGAATATTGTTCTGTCGCACAGCGAAATATGCGAACTTTGTTTCACTGCAACAGGTAACACTCAGATGGTTTTGCGCTAGACACGGCACCTGGAACCCACATCAACGGCGAGGGTAACTCTCAGATTGTTTCAACAAGGGTGGTTTAGGGAAAAGAGATGGTACATTTCAACAAGCATACAGACATGCATAAACCCTTCCTAGAAGTGTCTTACTACCTCAAACATCAAAAGACCATCGCCAAAACCCGAAACAGTCCCGCCCGAATTTGCTGTTGAAATTTGTCTATTTGATAACCGCTACGCTGAAGTGAGTTTTACAAAGTTTTAGAGCGGTACTTCCGCTCGTTTGGGAAGGCAATCCCAGATGTTCGACGCCCTCAGTACGGCTGTGCGCTCTTCACTTTGTCCTAGTTGGATCAATTTGGTCTACACGCGGTTGTGCAGGGCTGCTCATTTTGTGTAGCGTGATTTGCGGCAGCAATGTTTGTACTACTTTCTCCTGAGCGCTTCTGTATGGTCTGCCATAGGCACATACTACGGCGGGAAAGTGGGGAGAATTCAGAAGAAAAAACACGACAAGCAAAGCAACACCAGCATCCTTACTGGCACACGCCGAGTCATGCCACTGGCAGTACTACGTGTGACGGAATACAACCCTAAACATTATAAAACGCCTTGTTTCCCGGAGATAATCTCATTTGTTTCACTCCGATCGAGACCCTCCTTTCTCTACTGGAAGGACAGCCGCTCTACTACCACCATAGTAGAATTACTTCCCAGCAGCCATCATGGCCCACACGTCAATGCAATCTGCGTTCATCCTCGCTGGTACGTATCGCCGGATACGTGATTTGACCGCCGTTGGTCCTGCTAACATCCATAGTAGCAAACTTTTCTTTTCTTTTCGCCACGTCTCTCTCCTTTTGTGCAGTGCTGCTCTCTCTCACCTGCAGCGCCATCGCCGCCTTCCGTCCGACTCCAAAGAGCCTGGAGGTTGTCTACGAAGACAACGTTATTTCCTTATGGAAATGTATGTTCCAAACCAGCTCTCTCTCTCAAGTTTGACAGGCACATACATCTCAGGCTGAGATCTGATTTGCACACGCTCATCACGATGCTCTTCGCTTATCCGATAGTGATCAAGAATATGTATCATTATCCGTTCGCCTTTCCTCTGGCTTTTTCTCCCTCTACCTGCTTATACATCTCCGTGCTGTGCAGACCAAGCCTCATCGACTCTTTCTTCGAAAACGGGTGGTTTGACTGGCTCGTGCAACCTAAATTCTTCCGTGTAAGCATCAAACTCCGCCGAGAGCTCACTAGTGTTCCCATAACGTTTGACGGCTTGTTGGAACCCGCCCGGTTACTTCACCCACGTATATCACGATGACTGATTATCCTATCTCATCCATGTTAGCTTGTTGAATCATGTGCAAAAAGAGGCGCCGCACTAGAAGAAGCAAAGGTGTATTTGTGGGAGGAGCCTGGATCCTTCGGATTACACCAGCAGCCCGTCCTGGAGTGACCTCTCATCTGCCTGTCACCCCAAGCTCTGCCTTCCACCCCTCGCCCCTCCCTCTCCCTCTCTCCCCTCTCCCTTCTCCCCTCTCTTATTGCAGCACGGTCACTACCCAAACCACCTCGTTGGTCGTCCGTGTTACGGGCGCCAAAGGGGCGACCGCCGCATCGTTCTCCCCTCCCGGCTACTTCAGGAACAGCACTGGGTCCCTAGTGGCCCAGTTCCCGTGCACCTTTCAAGCGGAAGCAACAAGCGGCAACTGGAACTGCACCATAAACGCATCGGTTCAGCTCGGTAAAATTCAGCCTTTGGAGCCAGTCGGTTCTATCAAGGCGTTAGTTGACGCTGGGGTTTTCGAAAAACCCACGGACTTCTATGTTGTGGTTAATGTTACCAGCGTGGCGGTACTAAAGGGATCGATCACCGCAAGTGCAAAGGCCTACTGACAGATTGCATCTCGACAGGCTTCTCTCGCATCCGAGTCACCACCAGTGATGTGATTCGGAGTGAATTTACAGGGGCAGGCTCGTAAGGACGCGTTGAAAGTACACGATCGATCGTGGGTGGCGATCGATGTGCGGATCTGTAACCCTATTTACTGTGCTGTAACCTTGCTACAGTATGGTTTTTGGCCAAAATTTGTGCACAGTGTGTGAATGCGACTGATCACTGATCGCGGGAGATCAGTGAGAGGCATCAAAGCGTCATTGATGCTCTCGAACCGAGCCTACCTGGCACGATTGATTCTGATGCCTGCGACTTTCTGAAATTTCGCAGAGCCAGGAATCGCTGTCGCCCAAATTGTCCACATTTGGCGAAATCTGTAAACATCACATCGCCAGGGTGGTTGCCCTGTTGGCTGCGAGTGTCGCAGGTGGGTATGGACAACGTATGTGTTTTGGGTGCAAGTCGCTTGCAGGGCAGTAATCTCGGTCCTGGAACATCCACCACAATGCTCATGTGCGATCGTTACAACGTATCGGTCTGCATGTTTCGCCAATCGATCTGCCCACTCGATTGTGGGGCTCGATTTATGCTCGCGATCCCACGATATTTGCACTTTCAACGCGTCCTAAGTCCCACAAGATACATGTGGCAATGATGATTATTAAATCAGAAGACACACCACCACCGGAGGCTGCCGAAAGACGTACCTCCCTCTAATGGTAACTCTGAAATGAACCCAGAGTGCCATACATGTCACAGGTGACTACCATATAGTGTATGTTCTAGCTAACTCCCTTGCATACCCATCTGTTCGTTATGCAATTAAAATTTATACGGTAGCACGTGTATGTAAGGACACAAAAGAAAGAAAAGGCACACCGAGCACAACGTTACACGGTGTAAAGATGATGTTCTTAGGCTGTATTCATGAACCGATGATGCGAATTCTGTCTGCGCAACAGGTAACTCACAGATAAATTTGCGCGAGACGCGTCGACCGACTTGGGATTCGAAAGGTGTTCGGGATATATTCAATTCGTCCCAGCAAGCTGCCCCATTTCCCACAGCGCTGTTTGCGGCAGCAAATGTGGGCCTCACCTGACTGAGCACTTGAGATTTCCTGAATGCTTCCCGCGCATTCTGCGAGAGGCATACGACGCGGCGAAATAGGTTGCATGTAGATCAGGAGTAACAACGAGAAGCAAAGCCGCAGCCAGTGGCGTTTGCCTGTACATCACGCCGAGTCATGACATGACGCCAGTGACGCCATACAACCCAAAGCGCAAGGCAAGCACCAGCTCGCTGGAAAGATGGGGTGAAGGCACCTGAAGCGTCTGAGACCGCCGCCTGGCGCTCCCTGTCCCTCCTTCCTGCCTGATCGTAGAGCCTGACTAGCGCTTTCAACGCTTGCATCACTGAGACCGCATAGCCTCCGTACGCGGATGTTATTCTACCGAGTACTACTAGCCCTCTCGACTGGCTATTTCTGGAGTTTATATAATTCGTGTCTCACCGTTCGAACTCCATTCTCTTCTGTAAGGACAGCCCCGTATTCACGTCATCACACGCAATTGGCTCTAGTAGATCTACTTCCCTGCGACCACTGCAGGGATTCTCTTAGAACTATAAAAACATCATCGCAAGTGGCTCTAGTAGAACTACTTCTCTGCGACCACCACTAGCAGCAACCATGACGCACACGTCGCTGCGACCTGCGTTCGTCTTCGCAGGTGAGCTCCCGTGATCCCCCCGTTGTTTCCTGTTACTCACTATGATACTGACGCCTAGCCATTAAACTGCTGCTTCGTGCTCAAACTGCTCGCACGCCCTGCGATGCTTTTCGCAAAGAAACAAAAAATCACGCCCGTGATTTGCTCCCAACTAGGTCGACGAAACAGGACCAACACTGTTCAGTGATGAGCAACCACGACGAGGAAATACTAGATTACTAAATCTGTAAGCTCTCAAATAACTCCTAGCAAATATAATATATTTTGCCGTCATTCTTTCCGTGCAGTGCTGCTCTGTCTCGCCTGCGGCGCCATCGCCGGCCGCCATCTACTCCAAACCTCCAACACACGCTGTACGACGACACTCTCTTGTTGCATGCCTCACTGTCTTGTTGCGCGCCGCACTGCATTGTTGCGCGCCGCCATCTGCTCCAAACCACCAACACGTGACGCTGTGCGACGACGCTTTCGTCGTCACATCACTCGCCGAGTGACTCAATCACGGATCGGATGCACTCGCTCTCCTTTAGACATGCTTCCAACTTGGTTGAACCTGCACCCTCCTTTTGCACGCGCTCTTTTGTTGATCCAATCGCACGCTTCTTTGCTTAGCTATTCAAGACTTTCTTTCGGCCTTTCTCCTGGCTTGTTCCCCCTCTACGTGCTTATCCCTCTCCGCGTTGCGCAGACCAAGTCTCATCGACTCTTGCAAAAACGGGCTCCATGGCTGGCTCGTGCAATGTGGATTTTACCGTATAAGCGCGAAATCGTTTTTCTTCTCATACCGAGATATTTCCCCATTATATCCTCATACCGTGGGTCACGATGACTGGCTCGCTCGTGCACCCTGGATGCTACCGTGTAAGCGCCAAACTCCATTGATCACTCACTACCCGAAACCCCAACCTCGATTTTCATGTTGTCACGCTGAACGTGCAGAAGTGAGCCTCTCCGCTGGAAGCGAAGCTGTACTTACTTGTAGCATCAGCCTAACTTACTCTTCGCATGTGCTCTCGCATACGTCTGTCTTCCCTAACCCCTCCCCTCTCCCCTGCTTCCCCTCTCCCCTTGCAGCACGGCAACTTCCCAAACCACATCCTTCGCCTGCAGCGTTACGGGCGTAACAGGGGCGGCCCCGACTTTCTCCTCGCCTTCTTACTACAATCTTAACAATGATTTCTTCGTAACCGGGTTTCCGTGCAAATTTGCGGCGGTAGCCAACGGCGTTTGGAATTGCACCCGCAACCAGAAGTTTCTACTCGCTCCAGATGCGCCTTCCGTGCCAACCGCGCAACTCAAGTCGTTGGTCGACGCTGGGTTGTTCGCGAAACCTACAGACTTCTATATCATGGTTAAGGTTAACAACGTGGAGGTAAGGGGGTCCATCACAGCATCCGCGGCATGAGATATCTCAATATCCGCGTCAGTTCGGGGCTGCCAGTGGTAGAGAAACGTATCCACGGTGTGTGGAACATCCTTATTCTGATTAACCAGGCCCTGTGATGTTGCGTCCATGCAAGCAGCCCCCTTATCCTCGTCTGCCCTCTAACTTGCTCCCCTCCTCTCATTCTCTCTACCTTACTGCTGCCCTGGTATTGAGGCCTCAGCTTTCTTGTACCCATGTTTCAATATAAGAGGTTTACGTGCCTTGCAATTTGTGTGCAAAGAGATGTAATGATGATATCTAAACAAAAAACAGGCTGCTGAAATTCTGACTGCAATCCTCATATACGGTATTGCAAACACACAGGTTGGGATGTTAGTGTTGGAAACAATCGATCTTAAGCGCCTCTGTCGTGTCGAAACACTAAGACACAAACGAAGCGAAGTATAACGAATCACCAGCGAGTGAACCCTCGGAGGTTGAAGCAACCGCTGGAGGTTACGCGGAAGTCAAAGGTCAGCGACCTTTGACCTGACAAATACAGCGCGACAGCAAGGACACACAACTGACTCGCTACAGAGCAGTTGCCCGAGTCGTCACTGTATCGAACCGCAACAGCAACAGTAAAGTAGTTACAACCTTACCTCTTCGTATTCCTTGTACTCTTATATATATTCTTGTATCTCTTTGTTTTAATCAACTTACTTTGCCCTCACATACTAGCGCAAGGTGGTTCACAACTCTTTAATTAACGCTTCCGCTATTACACCAACTCTACCCAGAGTTCACCCCTGCAAAGATCCTAAGGGCTTTCTCAGCCCAACATGGTATGAGAGCTATCAGGGGGAATTCAACTTCTATACCGGCAACATCAACAGGCATGGCTACACAAAAAGAAAGGAGCAACTCCAACGGCTCCCAGGGCACTACACCTACTCCACCTCCTGCCTCTGGCCTACAGACAGAGGAGGGCACGGCAACGAGACCTAGGGCGACGTCTACCGAGACTCCCACGAACCAACCTGCAGACTTCGACCAGAGCATGATGGAGAAGTTCTTCTCCTTCATGTCCTTCTACGAGCAACACCAGCAATCGGCACCTGCGCAGTCACACAACAGCAACAACAACGGAGCAACGCCTATGAGTCTCGACGGCTCATCATATGCACGAGGAAATCAACAACAGCAGCCTACCTTTGCTCCGTACGAGCGCGGGTCCATCAGCTTCATGCCACACCCGCAGCCCTCACCTGGACAAGAAAGGTCACTGGACGCATTACAAGTTCAGTCGCAGTTCGCACACGTTCTGAAGATGCAGACGTCAAGACCATTCGATGGAAAGGACTTCTTCACCTGGTCGTTTGAATTCGAGCTGATGATGGAAGGCGCGCAGATACTTGGCTTCTTCGACGGGTCCCTGCCATACCCAACAAACGGCACACAGTACGAGAAGCAGCAGTACACCTATCAGTCAATGATGGCGTACACGATTCTACTGAGGAACATCACCCCGACTCAACAACAGAACATACGAACTTACCGGGGTTACGGCAACTCCGCGGAGCTCGCGTACAACCACCTGAAGAGCCTGTATCAAGCAACAGACAGCGTAAGTCAAAGTCGGTTAATGGCGCAACTGACAACAGTTGAAATGAAACCGGGAGAAAAGGGGATGGCATATATCAGCCGCTGTCGCGAACTGCGCGACAAGCTCCTTCGATGCGGAGGGTCGATATCTGAAGACGCCTTCGTGACAGTTATCATCGGCGGCCTCGGTCCTCAATGGCGCGCCACGAAAGCTATTCTCCGAGCACATGGAAGAATCTCCGAAGCAGCACTCTGCGCCGAAATCCACGCCGAGCAACAAGACATGGACCTGCAAGAAGAACGACACAAAAAGAAGACATCAGCACCGGAATTCGCGTTCCACACTCAGCGACGCTACAACAACAACAACAACCGGCAGAACCAACCGAAGCCAGTACCTCCGTTTTGCCACATCTGCAAAACTTCAGGACACCCGCGTACGCACTGCCCGAATCGTCAATAGTCAACAACTCCACAGCGGCAACTTCGACCTTCAAGCAGCCAAATCGCCTCAACGCAAGCAAATCCCACGACCCAGGTTCAAGCTTCAACAACTTCAACGGGACAACCTGCACAAGGAGCAAGAAACATCGTCAGCTGCATGGCAAAGCTGAGTGACTCCTGCATCACCGAGTCACCACCACACTACTCACCGGAAGAACAACTCGACGAAACCACACCCCGCCGCGAGTCACTTCAGCCGAACCCGACATACGCCGCCATCGCCCAAAGCGAACCATCCGGAAAGGACACATGGTTCTTGGACAGTTGCTGCGGACAGCACATGTGCTCCTCAGGACGCTTCGTTCAACGAGAACACCAACTTCAACGCGAAGTCGTCATCACAGTCGCCAACAATCAGAACCTGCGAACACGACGACAAGGCGTAGTTCAACTTCAGTCAAGGGAAACAAACGTTATACTGTAGATGTCAAAGGTACTAATCGCGGAGGGACTCGGCTACAACTTACTGAGCGTCAGACAGTTGATGGCGAAGGGCATTCACCTCGAGGCAGACAGCACCACCCAGGAATTCAAGCTGTACCACGGGAAGGGCGGCCTCTACATCGGCAAGGCGATCCTAAAAAACAACGTCTTCGTTCTCGATTTTGTCCCAGATCTTGGCACAGCTGACAGCGACGGCATCGTCACCTTCACCTCCTGGACCCATCCTCCAAACCTTGATCCAGACTTCAGTCCAGAAGGCTTCTGGTATTCACACACCATCCCTGAGGCAGAAAGAACAAGGGCGTTAGCAACAATTCAGACAACATCAGCAGCAGCAGAGACAACATCGGCAGCAGCAGAGACAACATCGGCAGCAGCAGAGACAACATCGGCAGCAGCAGAGACAACATCGGCAGTAGCAGAACCATCAACGACAGCAGCAGGAACGTCAACACCAATTGCTGGTCCTTCAACGGCACCGCTCCTCATCGACGACACACCACCGACACCCGCGCAACAACTACACCCAGCACCACGAGAAGTTCATCGTAGCGCCAACTTCACCGCCAACTTCTACTCCAACTCCGATCTGTACCGACGATCACCCGGACATCGCGCCGACGAAAGCACCTGGCACGCAAGGATGGGACACCCAAGCAACACAGTATTAAATAATACGATAAGAGCAGGAGTACTTGACAAGGACTCACTACTACTGACCGACGGAAGAGAACTTCAACGAGTACGCGGAACGTGCTTCACCTGCCCTGAAGCTGACTTACCACATCGACCGTTTGCGTCTCGCCATAACCCAAGCGCACCAGCTTACGCGCCACTCGAGAAGGTGTACAGCGACATCCTGTACAATCGCGAGCCGGGGCAGAACGCGTACAACTACACCATCACGTTCATCGACGCCGCGACACGTTATGTTTGGCACCTGAATCTTCCAAGCAAGGATATGGCGTTCGAAGCGTTCGTCGCCTGGCTCCCCGTAGCAGAAAGGGAATCGGGCGTCAAACTAAAGAGCTTCCAGTCAGACGGGGGAGGAGAATACACCTCACAGAGGTTCAAGCAGTACTTGGCTGAAAGAGGAATCAAGCGGCTCATTTCCCTTCCCTACGCCCATCAACAGCAGGGTGTAGCAGAGAGGATGAACAGGACCCTCCAGAACACCATGCGGAAACTGTTACGTGGCATGCGGCTACCCACCCACCAGTGGCCAGAAGCAATGGACCACGCCGTGATGCTGCACAACTTGCTTTCTTCGTCGTCACTACCGAACAACACATCACCGCATCTGCTGTGGACAGGAAAACTGGGCAGCACAAAAATGTTACGAGTCTTCGGCTGCATGGTACAGTACCGACCTCCATCTGCACGAGCAGGACGATTCTCCCAACGGGCACAGTGGGGACTACACCTGGGCATCGAAAAACACTACAACGCATGGAAGATTTTCGACGTCGAGACAAAAGAAACAGTGGCAGCACGTGATGTCATTTTCTACGAGCGGCTCACCTTGCAAACGTACCTTGCCAACCTGGACGAAAACCAAGACCCCACAGGTGGCTTCCGTGGAGACCGAGCCTTCGCTTCGGCAGAAGACGAAGCTGACTGGGACGAGCAGAATGTGGAAGGAGCCTCGGAAGAAGCCGGACCCCTCCCGTACTGCTCCGTCGATGTCCCAATGGATGACGAAAATCCACGCGAAAGCAACAACGCCGAAGTCTTTTACCACTTCGCCGACAACGGTTACGTTACACCTGCACAAGTCAACACCGACGAAGCAGAACGCATAGGACCTAATTTCGCACCTGATCCAGAAGCGGGAGACGAAGCAGTTTATCCAGAGGATACTTCACTCCCTCGCTACACACAGAGTGGGCTCCAAATCCTTGGTCTCGTCACCGCAGTCCACGGCGCAGCCATTCCTAAAGAGCCTGCGACAGTTCAACAGGCTCTGGGGGGGGAGCATAAGGAAAAATGGCGCGAAGCCATGGACAAGGAACTGAAGGCACTGGAGGAACGCAACACGTGGAAAGTAGTTCCCATCGGCGTAGCACGGAACAAGACCATTCTCACCGGGAAATGGGTCTTCCGCGTGAAGACGAAGTCTGACGGCACCATTGACAAATTCAAGGCACGATGGGTCGTGCGTGGCTTCGACCAAGAACACGGGCGAGACTTCACCGAAACCTTCGCTCCGGTCAGCCGACACACTTCGCTCCGAATTCTCCTCGCGATCGCC